CAATTGCTTTCATTTACTGCGTATTTAATTAATTGTGAAAACTGATCCAACATTTTTTTAAATTAGAATTTAGTGTATGACGCGCATCCGAACTCCTAAAATTTAAATAAATTTTACACCAGCCTACATATAATAATGCCGCGTGTTTCTCATTTTTTATTTGACATTCAAAATAAAAAGGGCAGATCTCTTCATTTATTATTTTCTCCCCCGAGTCCTTTACTTTGAATTTCGTGAATTAACTTACCTCTGCATTTTAGATTTCCGACCTCTTTATTTTTCTTTTTTCCCCGGGTTCTTGACTCTGAATTTCGTGAATTGAGTTGCCCTTGAAATTTTCACAGCCTGGACGCACCTGCTTGACACGGACATTGCGACGGCCCTTGACATGGAATAAGCGTTTCTCAAAGGCATCGGGGTCGACGTGCGTGAAGCCCGACTTGATGCCGCCGGGCAAGTACCGGATTCCTTTCTTGAAGTACGAGAGGAATTTGGAGGACTCCGCGCCCTGGACTTCTCGGTACTGAACCGGGACGCCGCCCAGCACGTCGTCCAACTCGACCGCTTTAATGGCCGCCGTGCCCATCTCATCCTGAAACCGGGAAAGGGATGAGAGAAAGATTACGATTGATGACTCTTTCTTTTCTTTTTTTTTGCCGGAAGGAGGAATAAGACAGAAAGAAAGAGAGATAGGATATGGTACAATATATTGTACTGTACAGTACTGTATTTAGAAACGTGGCTTTTCCTCTTTTCTGAAGGCGGAAAAAAAACCGCCATATTGGACACGATTTGTGGTCGTCAGTTGTTGAGAGCGTGAACAATTTTGAGACTAATAACCTCCTTATCCTGCTCAAGTCAGAGCTCGAAAAAAAATGCAGAAAATTTTCTACCAATTTTCAACTATTTTATATTGCGAGAAAAATTCCAGAAAAAGACTTCCAATTTCTCCTCTTGCGTCGCTTGAAATATTCAAGTCACTTCATCTTTTCGGACAAAATCTCGTTAATATATTTCCAAGCAGGAGAACCTGATTTTTCTTGAACCAAAAAGCTGGAAAGTTGAAACTGGTTATTCTCACTCGTTCAAAAACGAGTGATAACCGATTTAATTCACATTTCATTTCAGCTCAAAATAGAATTTCGCCATTTTTAAAACTTCTTCAAACTTGAAGTCGACTTCGAAAATTCCAAAGTTTTCTCTTTAAATACCCATGACCAAAGTTTGATAAGCACCGAAATTTTGCTTTTAATTTTGTCGGAAAACTCTCCGCTAAGTAAATCTGATTTTTGTTTTTAAAATACTGTGCGGTATCTAAAGATTGTACGAATAATCGGGTATCTAATCCTAGCTTTTAATCATAAATAAAAATGTTGCAGGATTTCAACTTAAATCGATATTACTGTGATAATATTTGAAATTACTTAAAATAGAAGCCATCGTATAACCGAGGGAACTGCGCTTAAAAAAATTATAAGCACGCTATTGTACCCGCATAAATGTCGATGCATGCCTTTTCAAGTACAGTAAATTAATATAAATTACCTTATTACGATATTCCATACTTAATTAAAGTATTATTATTACAAAATTATAATCTTCCAAACTGTAACTTTAAATTAGGAATAAAACTCAATTTCATTGAACCCAATTTTCAGTTAATTAAAGACCTGCAATAATCAAATAGAAATGTATTGGCCTTATAACTTTAAAACAATTATTTATTCTCCAAAAGAAATAATTATTTCATATCATTTTATAGTAAAGCCAAATAATATTGACGCACCAAACACCGGGTCTTAGCTTTTTTTTTAATAAAAATATTAATGCGCATTGTGGCTAAATTTGCATAGAGTTGAATTTCCCATCTCTTCTGAAAAAATTCCATGTTCCTCCAAGTGTGACGAAAAAAAAAGTCCCACGTCAAAACATTCCTAGACTACAGCACAGAACAATATTTTTTCTGGCCAGGATAAGCATACTTCAAGCAATACCATGACCAGTACCGCATCAAATGAATTCCATTTCACCATGGTTGTTCTTACACAATATAGTTTCCCGCAGAGAAATGCTTATAAAATTAGGAACAAACAAAAAGAAAACTTACTTGGCTCGTTTCGTTCCCCAGCCAGAAATGAATATCCCAGGAGAAGGATCCATTGTTTTCCTTGGTCTATTCGAGTAATAATAAGAAAAAGTACAGTACAGCATTTTTTTTTTCTTTTTCAACATTTTCCCCCCGGAAATGAAGATACGGTTCAATACTCACGTGAAGCACGACGTATGAGTCACCAGTGTAGAACTGCCCAACCTTGTCAAAGGGAACCAACTCGAAGTTCTGAGAAGAATGAAACAGAAAATGAGTCACTCCGACAATAATTTTCTTTAAAAAAAAATCACATTCGTTTTCTTCCGGAACGAAAACCTAAACAATTACGGTACTTGAAAAACTGGAACACATCGCTGCAACAAAATATCACCGTACAAAAAAGAGCAATACGCGAAAATGTATTAAAGAAAATTAAATAAATACGGGTTTAGGTTTCCCACGAAGGACAAAAAAAAAACGGTTCTCAATTTTCTTCTCGGATCGTTCAAAAGGTTCCACTCAGTGTGGATGAAGATTCAGAAAATTAACCCTTTTCTACTTGCTTTATTGAATCCCATTTAGATCCCTAAAAAACTGATTTTGCGGTACTGAAAACCAGAAAATAAAATATATGAATTTTCACACGCCAAAATGCGAAAACTTTCATTTAATAAATAAAACTCAGGATAAAATGATGATCATATTTTCCTATACATCAGTCATGAATGTCCCGGGAAATCGTGGGAGTCATTCGAACTCGATGAAGAAGGAATTGCTGTAATAAAATATGAATGGCGAAAAATGTACATACTGTATCTGGTTACGGAAAATTAATTTCAACACATCAGTCGGCGAATTTACGCCAGCAAACTGATGATTAATTGAATCATGCATATTCGAGTCTTCAAAAAAGTCATAATATTCGTCCAGATGCTAGTGAATCACGTTGGGAGTACAGTATAGTTTTCACTATAAAAACAGCGCGACAATTTCTGAAATTTTTTTTGAAAATCCCTGCCTGTTGCATTGAATTCAAGAAGGCAGGAAATTCTCAAGAAAAACGGCATTCAGTGTACAGTATTATACATGCGTCTTCGTTTCTGTGTCTGTCGGTCTGTTCCTGGAACCCAAGTGAAGTCCCAGATGATAAAAGCTCTGAAGTGCGCTTATTCTTTCTAAACCAAAAACGTCGGGGTAAAACGCATTTCCTTCAGAATGGCGTTGGACAGGACAAGCAGGAAGTCAGTCGTGAGACCGAAAAGGAACCAGCATGCAATGGGCTGTACAACGATGAGGGGAAGGGCGGATGTGGCAGAAGGCCAGGATTTCCGGACGTTGACTCTGGCGCCTGGATGGTGCCGCTCTCTTATGCGGCCGACTGGTAATAAGACAGGTGGAATACAGGAGGGCCTAAACACGAAGATGCGTTGCATAGGCTCAATTCAAATGCGAAGTTGCTTCCTGGACAATGACCTCATGATCACAAAATTTTCTTTTTGGCCCCCCCGAAGTGAATTCTTCTGGCTTTTCACCTTCCTTCATCATATTTTTCAAGGCAATTGCATCATTCACCCTTCTGCAGCAATTAAACTATTTTTGCAGAATTGTGTGCCCACCAGCATTGACAATTTTAAAAATCCTGGACCAGGATGTTTTGAACCAAAGCATAAGTTAATTTTCATCTAAGTGCAGAAAATGTCATCCTCCTGCCATCATATGATCATCATTAAAAGGTTTTGAATTACAAAAGTGTTTACTCTTCCTGTATTTTCCCTTACTTCTCCCCTCAAATGCCAGGCTGCCTTTTGATGACCTTTAAAATGCATGCATGTGTGGGGAAATCTCAACTTTACATTGGGAAGGAAAGGAACCTGCCTCTGTGCCAGGTTTCTCAGACTAAGTACAATATTTCATGAAGTTCTCCCCCAATGTTACTCAGGGATTCTTTACAACAAAATTCTCTCAAAATTTATTTTTTTCTGGTCCCTTGAGTTTCAGTATAGAGTCCACCTGTGCTACTAAAACATTCCATTTAAAGTTAACCAATTTGAGTTCAACTGTCAATATAACCTCCTGCCACTCTATGCCAATCCATTTTAAACTTCTGTAATGCAAAATCTTTAGCCTTTTAACCTCCTCAGTCAATTTTTCTATGGCAGTACCATTCATATAAGGGCTAAACTATTTACAGTATATTGCATATCACAGAAAACTGGAAAAAAATTGGTAGTCTCATGTACAGTTAATATTATTTGTATATTACTGGCAAATTCCCTCTGGAGAATTCCTTTTGAACCTCCCTATCTAGAATGTTCTTGGCTCTTAACTTCCCTATTTTTAAATTTTCCAATACATGTAGATAAAGAAGTTGGGTATAAGTTATACAGTACAAAACATGTGCTAGTAGATTAATAAAATGATGCAAATTATTATCCTGATGCTCTAGTTACTGTAATTAACCACAAATCCAGAAATTTCCTGTAATTACAATATCTGTTAACCTACAAAAATTAAGCTGCTGTCACCAAGTTCAGTTTATAGGAAGTTCTGTTTGAATTTGACTCCAATATATTCAATTGTAAAGGACATGGTATCCTTACAATCACGAAAATCCTGGTTAAAGGGGTTTCTTAAAATCCCTCTAGTACAGAGACCCAAAAAAAGAGGAAATTCCCAATGACAAAGCCATGTGTATTCTGCTGGATTGTGAATGACTTCATTGTAACAAAAGTCTACAAGCATAGGCTGCCAATCATTCCATTCATGACTGTTGTGAGCAAACAACATTGTGCTGTCTGGGAAGTACTGTACTCTAAAAAATTAGATGTAACCACCACACTTTTCGGAGTATGTTTACCTCTTCATCACACGGCTAAAAACACGGTTTTACCTCCAGCAATTACACCTAAAAATGATTTACAAAATCAGAGAAAAAGACAATCATGTACTCAAACTTGGGTGCTAAAAACAGATTGATGCAGATTCAAAATTGATGATTTTCTCCACATACATATGCTGTCTTGATTTTTCCTTTTCCATCCAATGCTTTCCGTTCTTCAAAAAACAAATTAAGCTTCTCAGGAGACAGCAAAAGATCACTCACAGACAAAACAGTCCTTCAAATTATGGTACAGTAATATTCACTTCAAACAAGAAAACGCCAACAGTCACACGTCACAATGGATTGAGACATGAGTGGGCGACACGCCAGACCAATCAGACAACGCTTGAGTACTGGACTACATAGATGCTTGGATCAAGGTCAGCCGCGCATCAGAGAGGCACCATCTGGACTTCCCTTGAACCGGCAAGTTTCGGAGCTCAGCAAGACACACGCGGGGCAGTAATCAAGTTTCTGCGCAGCGACTCCCATTTCTCGTTCATAATGATACCAAGAACATCATGCCTTCTGAAGGATGGACGACTTACCTTTCCACACTTCAGTAGAATTTCGGTTGAATAAAAATTCTGTAAATTACTGGACAGTGCTGTATAGATAAAATCAGGAAATGATGCTTGAAAAGGGTACGGTTGAACCTCGATAACTCAACCCCTCAATAAGTCGAACTTTCATCAAGTTCGAATTTTTTCGAGTCAATGCATATTAGAAACTTTTCTACTTCGAATTTTCTGGAGGCCTTTCGGCTATTACTTCATTGACACAGGAAAGAGGAAAACGATTTTTTTTAATATCACCGGATGAGCTTTGAAAAGAAGGTGGACGAAAAGTGATCAGCACAGGACTAAAATTCGGAACTTGAATCACGCTTACTTCTACGAAAACGCGAACACTAGAAAGATCTTTCGGCCATCCTCGGTAATAAATACTGTACTTGGAAAAGTAGGTACTGAACAGTGAATATACTTATTTCACATGATTTAAAATTATTTGGATAGATCCGCGATTCACGAAAGGAAGTACCGTGCAGCAGTAAGGAAAACATACTGTAAGATACTGTATTCAAGAACGAAAGAAGAACGTGCAAAAACTGCAAAATAAAGAGGATGAGAATTTCAAGGGCAGAATCCAACCATCATAAATTTTACTCATGTAAAATTCACAGTTTCGCAAAAGTATGAGAAGCTTGAGGTGAACCTGTACTTAGGTTTTTCCATTTACAGTTACATATGCTTCCAGTATTTACAGTACTATATACGTTATCCTATACTGCTGTATTACGAAAGTTTAAATATACTGTACTGTATAATATACTGCGTAAGCTGAAGACTGCTGGTGACTCAGAATCATCATCATCAGCATACTATACACGCGATCATGTGAGCAATCTTTCAAGAATTTTCTTCCGTCAAAACGCACGCAGGGAATTTCTCAATAATAATCAAGGGCACCATTGTCCGAAGCAACATATCATTATAGTAAATGAAGCATCACTCTTGGCTATACCGCGAGGAATATATCTTTATCCGCTGGCTCGCCACAGATTTACTAATACACCATACATTAGTACAGAAGTTCGTCAAGCAACGGTGAATAATTCGGTAAATAATTCGATGCACATCACAAGAGTAGTTGAATCAGCTCCTGACTTGAAAAAAAAAAAACTCACCTCAACTCTCCAGACTTTCAAGCCTGCTTCGTGTCCAACTCCTTCAAATGCGGGATCCATGACCTCAGTGGTATTTTCCAGCGGCGCAGAACCAACCACAATAACAATTGCACTGAACGTGAATAACAAAATTCTGCGCGAACATGGTTTCAAGAAAGGCATCGTGATATCCAATAGGATTAAAGATTGTCTACGAAAGAACTCGGCGAATTTCACCGCGTTTCTGTAAGGTTGACCACAGAACCCGAACCAATCGTGACCGTATCAGAACCCAGATTTTAAATCTTAGGTTCATGAATAAATTAATCCAACTTCCTTCAACGTCACATTCCCGGATTCACAAATTCTTCGTTAATTTTCAATGTACTGCTGGACACCATCAGCAACAGAAATGAGTGAGCTGTTGAGGTTGCAGCATTCGACGGATGTCATTCGCCCCTCTCGCCCAGCGGAACTGCTCCCCTGAAACTCCGCAGCACCACTCTGCCTCTCTGAGCCAGTTCACTCCCTGTCCCCGTCACTCCCTCCAGCCAGCATGCACATGAGAGACTTGAGGGTTAGGGTTTAAGGTGGAATAATCAGTTTCAATGGATGACAACTCCGACAAAATGGGTAAAACACTTACTTGAATCAGCTCCTGATTCAAAAGGCCATCAGATTCTTCAAATTGACAGATAAGTATAAGCGACCAATTTCTTTACTGAAGAACTGTCAACTCAAAATGCCAACTTCAGCTTTTGCAATCATTGTCTTAGAAATTTCAGACTTCCTGCAATTTGGTTGAAGAACAGTTTAACCAAGACAAAAGGCCATCAGATTCTTCAAATTGACAGATAATGTCTTGAAGAGTTTTCAAAGCATTACTTATTGTAAACTTTAGACAATAATTTTAAATTAAATTGACCTATATAATTGCCATATTCAGCAGAAAAAGAAGCCAATCAGTATTTTTTGACAATGCAAGTATTTTACACACTCAATACCATTAGTAAAACCAGTTTTGTAGCATACTTTTCTTATGTGCAAGATATCCTTTCATCTAATATGCCTCACACTATACTGTATTCTTGAAGCCATCGCAGCATTTTAATCAGGGTTCTGACATTTTACAATTGATTCAGACAAAATTGAGAAGATGTACAATAAGAAACAGTTTTGATTAAACAAGAAGCCTATCTGCAGTTTTTTTTATAAGATAAAACAACTTGCAAGTTCCAACAAGACCAGACAACTCTAATCAGTTACAACAAGAGAACTTGCCAGTTCTATAAAAAGACAACACAACTTGCCACTTCTAATAACAATAAGAGAATAAGACAACTGGCCAGTTCTGATAGACAAAACATGACAGAATACCAACACATGGCAAAGTACAATACAATATTGACTGAATATAAAGACTTTTTTAAATGAATAAAAAATCAGTCTCTGTATACATTTGGACAATTTGTACATTATGGATATTTGGGAACTTTTAAAAATACAGCATCCATAATATGGAAAATTTTATTTAAAATTCCGATATCTCTTGAACATAAATTGAAATACAGTATTTCTATGGACAACAATTCAAAATACGCAGTGAGTATAACAGTAATAACACTATTCGAAATTGACTAAATTATTCATAATATCTTTATATGTGGGGGATTTCCATCAACTGCTGCGGCATCTACAGTGTAAAGTATAGCAATGTGGCTTATTTGGTGCAGCACAGTGTGGCAATAATAATATGCTGTGGCTTATTATTTTTCCGTTTTTGGATTCTATATGTTCATGCCAAGAGGGCAGATTCTGTGAGGGTTTTCTGCTGCACACAGTTGATTGTCTGCATATTATCAAAGAAAAAAACTTTTGTGACCTTTTTTAGTTTTGAAGAATGCGTTCTCCAACTTTTGACCAAAAGGTAAAGGCACTTAAAAACGCCTCGATGATTGAAGTTTATGGAAGAATGCGGTTTGATACAAGCAATATTCAATATTTTCTTCTGACCAGCAGAACCAAATACTATACAAGTATATCAATTGTACTATACAGTACTATACTTGTATATCAATTGTACTATTCAGTACTATACTTGTATATCAGTGTTCCCAACCAGCAGGCAGTGTCTGATGCATGATATAGACCAGCACCACACAGCAAAAGTTTGTTGCTGGTTGTCCAAAGGACATTTTCTTCAGCATAATAATAGATTTATCAAAAGTAGGAATGAATAAGTGTATACTTTCTTTATCTGAAAATTTGGAAAGACAATGGCACTTGAAATCATCTAATGAAAAATAAAAGTTGGCTTTCCTCCAAATAATAATGCTTTAAACAAATATTCAAGTGCTGAAATAAATTATTAATTTTTCATTATGAGAAACCTTTCTTCAAGCCCACCATTCTAATTTTTTGAGGAAATTTCAGCTGCTTCATTGCTGGTTCCAAATATAATTAATAAAAAGCAAAAACTGTTCAACTATACCTGCCATAAAATTGTTGATCCCAACAAAACTTTCTTGAGTCTGCAAAAATTGTAAGAAACTGTAGAAATTTGCCAGTTCACAGAATTTTTTTTCGAAATTATGGCTGGTCCTCAAGAAATGTAATGGACATTTGCAGGCCTGCTGCAGGCCCAAAAAGGTAGCAGAACACCTGTTATACTGCCCATGACTTATTCTAGCACAGCATGGGTTGAGTAGGATTTCTCTGCCGCTCCCATCCTGCTGCTGCATTATTGACACGTTGATATAATTTTCTAAGCACCCACAATATCAACGTGGGGGGTGTAGCTCAGTGGTAGAGCGCTCGCTTTGCATGTGAGAAGCCCCGGGTTCAATCCCCGGCACCTCCATCACTTTTTGCACCTTGCACTTTGTGGCAGCTGTTCCCACAATGAATAAAACGGTCATTGAAAACCGTTTCGTATTTCAATGAATCACTTTTTTCTCCACTGCATTTCCACGCATCCCTTTACATTATTCCAAATATCGCAGCTGATATATATATAAAAAAAAAAAATATATATATATATATATATATATACAGTATATATATCCCTACATTTTCCCAAGCAGGGTTAACCAATTCTTATATTTTACGAATTTGATGGGTTACTCAAAGAGTATCAGATTCGTCGAAGAATCGTCATGATAGAACTCAACCATAATTTTAAACACATGACATTTCTTCCAGCAGCTTATAGAAGGAGGTATACAGTATAGTATATACTGTACAGTATACTGTATCCGGGGCCAACGGGAGGCCGCTCCGACGCACACTATGAAGGTAACTTGGAATAGTGACATCTAGATTCATTTTTCATAAAGAAAGTAGAAGCTTAATTTACAACCCAATGCTTTCGGCATCCGGTGGAATCTCAGCTGATGTATTGTTCTCTGGCGTAGCGGATCGGAATGTCCAGCCTTCAAGTGGAATTCTTAAAGAAAGACTGACTCGTGAAGTCTGCCGCAAATCCATCGTTGACAGACTGATATTCGGCGGACGACGCGAAAAGTAAACTGTTTCCATCCGAATTTGAAGAATCATCGAATTGATTCCGTACTCCCGATTCGTTCTGATCCTGGAAGATCGTGAAATCAGTGCTCGATTTGAGTTAAGGGCGGCGCACGTTTATGAATATGTTCTTCGTGGATTCTCACCATTGTTGTTCTAGTCCATTTTCTTTGTTTTCCAGACAGTCGAAATTGCGTGGACGCGCCGTGGAAGGTGAAGTCACCGGCTTGAAATCTGAGTCATCATGAAGTTGTACGCGTTAAGTGTGATTTACAAGGGCCCAGAGAAAGCTAATACACTGAAAGCCGCGTATGACTTGATGTCATTCGGCTTCTTTCAACGCGGAAGCATTCAGGAATTCATGACGTTCACATCGCAAATAATCGTGGAACGCACTGCCGTTTGTGCCCGTCAATCAGTCAAAGAAGGAGAATACATGTGCCATGTCTACGTACGGAACGATCGTTTGGCAGGCGTCGTCATCAGCGATCAAGAATATCCACATCGCGTGGCACACACTATGATAGGAAAGGTGCTGGAAGATTTCGCCAACGCCATAGCTGCGTCCGAGTGGCCAGGTGGAACATCCCAAACAATCTCCTTCGCGGGACTCGAAGGCGTGTTGGCCAAGTACCAAAACCCGCGGGAAGCGGACGCAATGTGCAAGATCCAGGCGGATTTGGACGAAACGAAAATCATCCTGCATAACACAATCGGATCTGTGCTGGAGCGTGGAGAAAAACTTGATGATCTTGTAGCGAAGTCCGAGACTCTCAGCGAAACGTCCAAGGTGTTTTATAAGACGGCTAGGAAAACGAATTCGTGTTGCAGCTGGGGCTAGACCTTTTGTGACACAATCCCGTGCGTGAGTGGGGATTTGAATGGCTCGGTGTTCATCGGTGTTCTCTTCCGCACCACCGCTTTCTGCGATTTTGCTTCTAAACGGGCGAGCCAACTCATGGGTTAGGTTCTCAAAACGCGCGCTTCGTTCATTTTGCTTATTTAATTTCAATGCATTCCGTCGAGAAATGTTTCGCTTTCGAGTTGTATTTGCGAACATGGTCCCGCGTATAATGAAATCCCCATCGTTCATTTGATTGAAATTCGGAGGAACGTACGGTAGAACTCCGATGGTCCGAACTGATTAGTACTGAGAGTAGTTCGGATTACTGGATACCACCGCAATTAGCACTTGGAAACTACATTCCTAAATGCGTATTCCGAAGTCAAGATTGAATAATACTGCATGCTGCCTGAAACTCTTCTAATGGGTAAACGTTTATATTGCCGATTGATTTATCTGAGACGTTGAGGCAAAGCAAATCATCGGGTGTTGTTTGGATTGTTTCTATGCATGCAAGACCAGTCCTCAGGAGGGGAAAGAAAATGTTTGGACTGGTGGATGTTTGGTTGATAGGAGTTCTACTGTAATTTATCATATGTATCTGTAGCATGCTACGTTGTCAAAGGGTAATACTATACTGTATGTGAAATTAAGCATTCGATAGTGCCGCGTGCGTTGTTGGTGAGCCAGACTCTTGTGTCCGTTTATTAGCAAAGCTCGGAAAATGCTCTGTCTTTCCCTTCCACCTAAAGGGGGCTTAAGTTTTACGACGATCTCGGGCTCGAAGGTGGTGGCAGTTCCCCCGTGTGCAAACTCCGCGTAAATGTGCTCCATGTGATTTACGACGTGTGATGGTTTCGGTTCTGAGAACCCTGGTTTCTCGGTTGCTTTATTTGCGCGAGTGGAAGGATGAGTCGAACATCAGCTCCGGGCTCTTCCAAATTGGATCATTTAATATTTTTCAGAACGTTATCGACGTTAATGTACAGTACGGTTTATATGTGGATGTATGTGACAAACCCACTTCCCCCGGATCTAATCTTATTTCCCTGGACGCTCTCCCAATATTTTCATGAGCGTTGAACATTGAATGTGATGTTTAGAAAGAAAGTGCTGATGTTATGCCCGGAACTGTATTCATTTGCTTTTTTTTTAGCTTGTTCTAAAATCAGAATGGCTTGTGTGAGCACAGTGGTGCGAAAATTTAAGACAAATGTTCAGAAAACTTATTTCCTGAGATGCGATGCATGTCTGCTGAAGTTCGGGGCCATACGGAACTTCATCCGAATTGTTCATAAAAAGTTACTGTATTCTGTTAGTGCGTGCCAAAGTTTATAAATTAAAGACTGATGTGTCCTCCGGTCAGAAGTTTGTGTGACGTGCATTTGAATTAGTAATAAGATAATTGGGCATTCGATCCAGCAGTCGAAGGCTTTTTTGTATAAAAGAAAGCGTTTATTGGAAAGGCAATTTCTTTATCAATAACATGCTGTATTTAAAACATCTGTGACGTACTGTTTTGATGTCTGCTCTTGTATTACTGATGTCAGAGCCATTCTGATTTTCGGTGCGAGTTGGTGCGTGATTCAATTATCTGGTGCATGAATCGCGTGATGGATCACGTAGTAATGCTTGGTGGGATTTAGATAAAGGCCAGCTGATGTTGATGGTGATTCTTGTAATGATTAAATTTTACGGTTGCAGATGTGATCCAAAAATGGTGGTGGGATGGATTATATTAATGTGTACATCGAAGCTTTGACAGGGACCCGGTTCCATCTCCGAGTATCCCTTCAAGATCGGATATTCGCCATCAAAATGTGGATTCTTCGTCACGAAGGTTAGTCCTCGTCATTCCATTTCCTTGGGTTGATTTTGTGTCCTGAAGGTTCGCTTGTGGCTTTTTGGAGAAAAACACTGAAATCGAGCTTATGTCAAGTGCCAAGCTTGAATGATAATACCCGATGCCCTCTTGAAGCAGTACTTTGACCTCGGTGACGCGAGAATTTATGCGCCATCTTTTAACTTGAGTAGAAAATCAAAAGAGAAGTGATGGTCTCTCTAATTATGGCATGTGACTTCTAACATTTTCTGTGTGTCTTAAATGGGTGCTTTTCTCTCACGCCCGCATTTGGAAGAAAACTATGAAGTATTGGAAAGCCTGCATTACAGAAAAGTTTCCAAAATTATTAAAATTACCAAAGAAAATTCTACTGGATTTTCGCCTCTTCTTCAGATGAATTTTCGAATTTTAGCTATGCCATTTTCGTTGTTTTGTATTTTGTGTAGTGATGCCCGTACTTACAGTTCGTCAATGCCAGTTGGATAAAACTGTAGGAATGCTCCAATATTATCTTCAAATTAAGTTAAACTTCAAGGGCCCGGAAACAAATTTAGTTAGCTAGGCTTTGAGTTGAGGAAACGACCTTTTTTGTTGAGGGAAGTAAGAAGTACTGGAAATTGTACTTGGTGCTATTTTGGGCCTTATATTGATCATTGAATGAGTTGACAAGATCCTGAATTTGGAGGCAATGGTGCATTTACCCAATGAATCTTTCACTTCCTTTCAAAACACATCTAGTGATGGTGGTATTGCTTTTCTCTCACCTGTGTTGATAAAATACTGTATAGCCAAGTGGCCTCCAGAAAATTTGAGTTATGGAGGTTTAAGGAGGGAGCTTTTTGATCCATGGATTTTAGGGGAATTCTGACAGGGACTTTGAAACATTGTACATGAGAAGGTACAGTATTTGAGTTATGGATGTTCAAGTGTATATTTATTGTACAGTATTTTTAAAATTTGCATATCATTAAATGCAATGTGTCAATTCACAAACTTGTCCTCAGTAAAAGGCATGTCTCTGCTTCAACATGCTTTCTGTAAACTTCATTTTGTGTGCCGCATATTATGTTTGAAAAATGGATCTGGGGATTATACTTGTAATCTTATAAAATGAGAGTACAGTACTGTAGTAGTATATACAGTACTACATATTTGCTCCCAAAGTTTATGAGCTTATGTTCTGTATTGCATGTTTGCAAAATAAAAAAAAAAGGTTGCAGTGGACAAACCCCTGTGTGGACTCGGCAGGCTTATGGATATTATGTACCGCCTGATATGCAAAGTGGGATGACAACGTGCGATGAATGTTTCTACAGGGTACCTGTGAGGGACTGAAGAGAATTTCGGTGCTTCTTTTAATTTATTTTGTTTTCTTGCTGGGAACCGGTTTTATCGCTCTGTGTATCGAATTTCGCATGTTCGATACGGTCAATGGGTTGTAGGTCTGTTACTCATCGGGATACAATTTTTTTTAATGCTGAGAATCATTTGATATTTGATTAGTTTTGAACAGGGGAAAGCACCCGGATCCGAAAAATTTTTGGAAAAAATTGTTTTAACAAAAGATACTACGGCGAATTATTTTACTGGCTCACATTTTTGTGTTTTCTTTTCTCAAGCTTCACTTTGCTTCTCGAATATTTTATAGTTTTTTCAAATAAAATCAAAGCACATTTTTTGGCGTCAGAAATGTGCAGTATGTAATGCACAACGAAGCTTTTTTATTTTTAAATATTATGCTCATTCAATGCTTCATCATTCCCAATTAAAAAATGAACATTCATTATCCTGAAGCATTCTTGAAATGGAAAAGGTTTGCATCAATTTATCTCAAAAGCAATATATCAGACAATAACAGATGAGCTTTTCGAATTATGGAATTTGAATGGAACCACATTGATGTACTGGAGCAACCCATACAGCGTGTCCTCAGATTTTAAGATGAGAATTGGAGAAATACAATTTGTTCTGAACCGAATTACAGTAATTTGTCATTTCAGAGCAATTGGTGATCTGGAAACAATTTTCATGTTCATGCATTTGTCCATGCTTTACAACACCAATGTAAAACCTCTTGTCTAGATAAATGCTTGATTACAAGTGGCTGCAGTGAGAATTTTTACATTTTGTGGCAGAATAATTGTCAATAGTTGACACACTGCAACAAGATTTGACATATTTTTAAATTACTCAATTTAAATGTATTGCCTGGAGTCTCTCTTTTAATTTTTTTCTACTTTGCTCACACTGAAAAGTATCGCTGACTACCAGATTTGATGAGAAATGAAGTGCAGGAGGCCAGGAGCATTTACGCAGCTTGCTAATGGTATATGTTGAAAGTTCTCTTTCAAAGGGTAGCACTTTGGGAAAAAACAAAGGATAATATATACCAATGACATTGTTGAATGAGTCTGATATATTTCCTCACATTACACAAGCCACATTATACACCACAAATAAGCATCAGATATTCACAGGTTTTTCACACTGAGAACAAGTCTTGAAACCCAGGAAAAATTTACTAATAACATTTTGTGCTTTATGCAATTTGCAACTCAAACTTCCCAAGCATATATATAGGTCAAAAATAAAGATACAATTCTCCGCAATGTCTTCAAATTTAGATTGCGAAGTTCTCTACATTTCTGGTCTTAAAGAAAATGTTTCCCAGAGCTTTAGTTTCTGAGGTACAGTATTTTCAATTTTGTGAAATATATTTTTCATCCGAGCTAATTGCTGATGAAATTAACATCAGCCATAATCTCAAATAAAAATTGGCCCCAAGAAAAGAAAAGGGTTGGGTGTGGAAATCTTGATAGTGCCTTGTGAACGCTGAAAAGCAGCAAATACTGTAAAGTGTTATGTTTATTCATTCATTCAAAAGAAAAGCCACCAGTTGCCCAAAACAAAGTTGTCCCACTTGGGGGCATTCAATAAGAAAAATCCCCTTGGTGCTAGAAGAAATCACATTTGTATCTCGGTAACACTCTCTCATGTCCTGTTTTATACATTTTTAAATTCCACATCATGTTCTTCCACTTTTATGGACTCCTCTTTCTCATTTTTTGATCATTATGATTATTCAGGAATTCCTGCCAGCTACCAACATTTGATATACGGAGATGTGGAACTGGAAGACGACGCTACTTTGGAGAGCTGTCATGTGCCTGACAAAGCCACGTTGAAGCTGGTAGTTTCCATGCGAGGAGGACCAGTTCGAATGCGACGCATTCCACCGTCTGGCGAAGTGGATATGTCTTGGCTGGAAATGTGGGACCTACTTGACCTCAATCAGTGAGCTTTTCTGAGAGATTCCGCTCATTTAGTTTGCTGAATGTTGATTGTATCTTTTTATTGGGTTTATCTGTGAAGTTTTGCGAAGTAATGAAACAGATGGAAAAGACTCCTCGTCAAGGAATCTATTGTCTGTGGAACGAAATACAGTTGAACCAACAGTATTCAAGTTGAACTTCGATGGACCAGCAAGGAAATTTGACTTCGGGAGAATTTGAGTTACGGAAGCAGCTTTTTTTGCTATACCGTGCAGTACAGTGAGACCCCGAGATGCGACGTAATTGGTACATCAAGATTGTCCCCAAGTTGAAATGTCCTTAAGTTGAGTCTCATTGTCCCTTAGACTTACATTATATGATTTTTAATAGGTGTTTTATGTACAAAATACTCACCATAATTCCATGAAAATGAAAATTGTCTCCCAATTTAACCTGATTCCAATCAATATATTTCAACACAATATGGGCATTTGGGGAATTTAATACTGATACCTCTGTACAGTGCATAGAAATGTTGGCATTCTCTGTTGAAAAAAATATTCAAGTGAAAAAGAGAGAAGAAAGTCCCTCTCTGGTGGAGGTAATTTTTTTTAATTAGCAAAATGGATGGTAAATTGGTGAGAGAAATGCCGAAGAACTTTTCTTTGATCAATTTTAGGGTTGGAAATATCTGCTTCTTGTAATTTGGCCTGAAATGTATTTGCAGTTTTATAACAAAATCTCCCTATGTCAATTCAGTTTCCTCATGTCGGGTCATTTTTATTAATTTTTTATGATAAAATAAGTGTCCCTAGGTCGAATCGTCCGCAGGTCAAGGCGTCCGCATGTGAGGGTCTCACTGTATATGACTGTAGTACAGTATAAAGAGTTGGAGGAAACTGGAATGTGTGATCTTTGGGTCCTAAGCTTCAGAATAAAGTAGTTGACAGGACTTGCTTAACTTGGAGGTATGGGTTTAATTTGCCCGATTAGTCATAAATTTCGTTATTCAAATTTTTATTGTTCTGGTGCATGATTTCGTTACGCAGGGACTCACTGTTTTTGTGAACGAATCACACTGGGATTTTCTCTGAAACTTCAAAAGAATGACTCATTCAAAAAATTCAGAAAACCTGAACCCTTTTTCTTTTACCTCCTTCCGACACACATTCTTAAATACATTATGATCAGTATGGATTCAACTCCCGGACAAATGCGATTTCATGGACGCATGAATCGGGATTTATTTGTGCTGTGCATAGAGAAAAAAGTTCCACGTGCTGAAAATTTATTCGCTGCCGATTTTTGAATCATAGTCTCTGCAAATATCACTTCCACCCTTGTTAAAGCGGAAAATGAAACTGAAGGGATTGATTTTTTCTCTGAATATGTGAGCCGTCCGGCAAAATCACGCTTTGAAAGTAGAAATCCGAAATAAATGTAGAAGTGAGAAATAAGTGTGAAATGACATGAAAATATACTTCAGTAGGCATCATTTTATGCAGCTGTGCTAGAGCTTAGTGTCTATAAGAAGAAACAAGAACCCAATCCCTCTTGTGACATCAGATCACACTGGGACAAATATGATTAGTGCTAAGTCTTCCCTTTATTCTCGTTTCCAGAGAGCAGATTTGGGATGTGGCACCCGGGGGAAAACCCGTCACGGTCTTGCTATTTAGGGATGGGGAGAGCGTCAACTTTTTCCGGGTCATCGAGAATTCAGACGGGACCTATTCGCCTCTATCCGAAACCCTGAACGGGAACACATTGAGGTAGTGTATTATTATCGCGTAATCCTGTTTTTTGTGAGGTACAGAAAAGCAAACCCGGGATTTATCGTCCCGAAGATTCATGTTAGTTCTTTCCTCTTCGGCGAATACCTGGAGGTTGATGAATTTGGTTTCTTTTTAGATTGTCGTCAAGGTTACGTTGAATCGACGAAATATTGAGATACATTCCCGGACACTAATACCTAATGACCCATTATAACCTAAACTAAGCCTCACAAGTAAATTGATTTAATCTTTTTTTTAGCTACCACCTTAAATTTGGAAACGGGTACACCAATAATTTTTCAAAACCATTTTCTGGTCCTCTCCACGTTATACAGTGTTACTTTAATGATGATGTACTCACTGCGTTTCTGGATTTCTCCCGCGAACAATTTGTGGTGTGCTCTTAGAATTTTTATCATCGGATATTTTCTTAGCGTTGAGCGTGAAAACAAAGTAGCGCATAATGATTTCTTCATCACGCGTATCCTATGATCGGATAGATTTCGGAAATTCGGATGCGCAGGTTTGATTGCTAAATTTGCCTGTTCCAAATTGTTTTAATTAGAGTGTGTGATCGTCTTTGAAGATGGTTTGCTTCTCCAATTCTTGGAAAAGTACCGCAATTAAAGGAAGAAAGGCTTTTGCTGCTGTAGAAGTCTAGAAATTTGCTTTTTTTTATCAAATTTGATTCTTGTGAGCTACGGACAATGCCTCTTGATTTCACTGACGGGTTATTGACGTATCTTGCAGATCTTTATTCGCGGAAGCCGACGATGAGTCAGCAAGAAAGGCAATTGAGAATGACCTGTTACGGGAGAAATTGAACGAGCTTCGGACTAAGATGCAATTGAAGGTTTGTGCCGTTTTCGTTGGTCTCTCATTTTTTTCGCTCGAACGAATGCATCCAGCAAGGAGTTCATTGTGCTTGTTTTGATGAACAGTACTCGATACTAGAACCAAAAATGAAACGGAAAGGTTTCGTATATCATTTCCGATTGATCATGATCGAATTGAAGCTGTTCATGAATTTCCGGCGAAAACCGAATCTTCTGTGCTATGGCTGTGTTACTGTGTCTTCAGACCTTATTTGAGAATCAGGAGAAGGTCTGAGAGATTCATGATGAGTCGGGTTGGCATTTTTGAATTTCCGTCCGCATCATCAACGCATTTTTGAATCATTTTTTGAATTTTTTGAATCACCTATTTTTGAATTTTTTGAACCATTTTTGAATCAAGACGCATGGTTTAATGAATGTTGCAATTAATAAATATTTATGCGCAAAAGTTACGCTTATCTATTTTCAACTCCGAGAGAAAGAGAGACAAGCAGAATATTTTACTCGTGTAACTCATGAACCGACTTTGTTATCGTCGTATCCGCTTCGCAGAACACAGTAAAATCCCGTTACGACGAACCTATGGGTACTTGAAAAATAGTTTACTATTCTGAATACTGTGGTTGGAACATACATGCTGTATCGAGCTTTCCCAGTTATTCAAAATGAGGAACTGAGGAATCCGTTTTTAATAAATGTATGTACTGTAGTGGCGAATGGTACCCTGGGACCTATCCTGTGTCTTGCAAATATTGTCAGAGAATCCACCTGTATGAGATTGTTCCTGAAGGAATCCGGAATGAAGAAGGTGACATACGGAGGTTTTTGACAAAAAGATAAGGTTTGAATTATCTATCAATTTTCCATCAAGAGAGCCTGCGATAAAGCACAGGTATTTGCTCGCGTCTACGTCTTTGATCAGCTTTTTGAAGGTTCGCTGCGCAAAAAGTGCATCACCTATCGTCGACTTCCTTAAGCTATCCATATTCAAAAAAATGCACGGTTTTGAGACACGTTATCGAGGGCGTGATGCCTGTGTCACGTTACTCCCGTTATTGTTTTCACGCCACCTAGTACCAGGGTGACCCGAGTCGCGTCCAGGCAGGGGTTTTCGAAACCATGTCTAGGTCATCGAAAGGAAAGCGACCTTCGGAATCCAGCAGGAAACCTTCAAGTTCACCATCGCCGCTATTCAGTGTTCGTCGGACCTATGGGACCAAGTTTGAAACGACTCGGTACGAGTCGGACGATGATCAGCATGATCCGGCGAGTCAGCGAGTGATTCCGTTTCGGGAGCATTTGTCGACGGCCACTTCGATCGTGTTGACGACGACGGGATTGATTGACGAAAATGACGCGTCTTCCAAAGAAAATGAGTCGACGAGCAAAGGTTTCAGCCGTCGAGTTTTGAATATTTTTGTGGGAGAACTGTCGTTTTTTTTTTTTTTTTTACGTGGGAGTGGAGTGTAAATATCGATTGCATTGCTTGCGAAAGTTCATGCGTCGAGTTTTGATGAGAATGTGGAGTATTCCGCCAAAATTACTCTTGAGAAAGGAAAAAACCGGTCGGATATACAGTTGCAAAGCTTCATCCGCCGAGGTTCAAATTTTAAGGGAAACGTTTGACAAAAACGGGGATATATTGTGAAAATTGGCTGAACTTATTGCCGTTTTTCGTTCCGTCGAGTTTTGACTGTTCCGCGATGAATTTCGATTGGTCCGTAGTTCCTGTGGAGTGGGAAGAAATTTCTTAGACATATTGTAAGAATGGGCTGAGTTGCTTGCGGAGGTTCACTCCGTTGGATTTTGAGATTTTCCATGAGAATTCAGGGGGTTCAAAGTGCTTTTGAGTGGAAAAATCAACCAGATTCGTTGCAAAGATTCATTCGTTGGTTTTACAAGATTTTGGATGAGATGGGAAATTTTTTACTCCCAAAAATGACGGTGGAGTGGAGGAAAAAATCTCGATTGCATGATCGCATTTGTCGCGAAGGTTCATGAGTCGAGTTCGGAATTTTTGGGAAGAATTTGGAGTGGTCTGAAATTATTGTAGAGTGGGAAAAATGAGATATATTGTAATGGGAAAATGGACGGAATTGATTGCGGAGGTTCATTCCGTCAAGCGTTGCATTTTTAAGATGTTGGGGATGTTCAGGGTGCCAAAAAATTACTGAAGCGGAGAAAAATCGACCGGATTGATTCCGGAGATTCATTCAAGTTTTAATTTTTTAAGGAGAAATTCAGGCGTGTTTCTAAAATTATGGCTGTCGTGGAAATGTGGATTAAATTGGTCGCGGAGGTTTTTGAGTCGAGATTCGAATTTTTTGGAAAGAATGTGGAATGGTCTGATATGACTTCGGAGAAGAAATACCGGGATATTTTGTGAAAAACAAAAAAAGGGCTTAATCAATTACATAGGTTGATTTTGTCGAGAATTGAATTTTCCAGATTTTTGGGGAAACTTTCGGGCGTCCGAAAAGTACAGTACTGTAGAGTGAACAAATTGAACGGATTGATTTAGAAGATTCATTCGTGAAATTTTGAAGGTTGCACCTTCGCAGTCAATCCGATCGATATTTCTGCTCCACTGTAATTGAAAACATTCATGCATTCCAGAGAATTTGTAGGGAGAATTTTGGTTTGTTTTAAAAAATTAAGTCGGAGGGGAGTGGAAATGTCGATTGCATTGGTCGCGAAGGTTCATGAGTGACGTCGAAAATTTCCTGCAGAAATTTTGCCGGAAATATCGGAAAATTTCATCCGCCAAGGCTTAAAAAAAACGACTACAAAAATTGGGATGCATTGTAAAAATTGGCTCCATTGATAGCACAGATTGAATCGTCGAGGTTTATATTCTTGAGATTTTAGGGAGGGTATTAGTATCCAAAAAGTACTTCAGAGTGGAAAAATCGACCGGATTGATCGCTAAGATTTATTCGTCAAGTTTTGAATTTTTTCAGAAAAATGCGAATTGAAATTATGGTGGATAGAAAAAATTGGCCGGATATATCCGTACTGTACTTCATCCGTCGAGGTTTGAGTGGTTTAAGGAAAAACGTGAGCTATTCTAAAATTTGGGTACAGTGGTCAAATTAAATTTATTACGAAGGTACTGTACATTCGTCCAGGCTAAATTTTCCAAGAAAAAATCAAGTTCTTCAAAAATTAGGATGGAGTGGAGAAATCGGCCGAATTGATAACAGATGTTCACGCGTGGAGGTTAGAATGATTTCGGAAGTGTGTGGAATGGTCTTAAATTACAGCAGAGTGGAAAAATCGGTCGGATATATTGCGAGGGTTCATCCGTCGAGGCTTGCATTTTTTTTTTAAGAAAAACATGATGTGCTCAAAAATTTAGGCACAGTGGAAAATCGAGCCACTTGATTGCACAGGTTCATCCGGGTTTCTTAAAATTCAAACAGAATGCAAATATTGCCCGGATTGTACAAGGGTTCATTCGTCGAATTTTTCTATGGTTTGCGAAAATCGACCGGATTGATAGCGAAGTTTCATCTGTCTACTTTTTGATAGGTTTCTTGAGAATGTGAGGTTTTCAGAAATAATGTGAAAGAAAGGCCACGTATAGTATATTGCAAAGGCTTATCGGTCGAAATTTTGAAGGAATGTTGAGTGTCCTAAAATAATGGTAGTCGAAAAATTGCGAATGTTCAAATATTTTCATATGTTTTGATGTTTGGCTTTTGAATGCGCGTGTAATTATGCATAGTTGGAAATTCTGTGTTGTCAACTTTTTTCAGCTCCGATTCAAGTTCGTATTGTTTTTGTTGTTGATATTTCTAGCTTTCCATCAACGAGTCCAACCTTAGTTTTTATGGCTGGCAAGACTTGGTTTCAAAATCGGTCGAGAATATTCCGGTTTTGGCGTATGAAACTGCATTGAAGGTTTTTGTCAAAATCTTGGTGTAAAACGGTACATTTGTGTGCGTTAAATGCTTCAAATTTTTGTCTAGAAGGTTCAGGAAGAATTGCGCCTAAATTATTGAAAATAGATTAAATTTAAATGCCGCGTGGAACACGAGACGATTATTCTAATTTATTCATGACCTGATGCTCGTCTATATTCAAGTGGGTAGAAGATCTCAAGTTGAGCGGCTGTAAAATCTTAATGTGCAAAAGCGTCGGAAGTTTTTGTAGTGAATAATTTTTTTTCTCAAATTAATTATTATTTTTTTCTCAAATGAATGATTAATTTTTTCTTGCGCTTGAAGCGCATTTCATCGGGTTCTTCATCCAAATATTTTGAAGCTGGACGATACTTTCATTTTGTTTTGATAGTTTCATGTCCTTTTCAACACTCACAAGCAGATGCAACGCATGTAAAATTTCTCGAGCAAGTTTTGTTTTGTTTAATTCGCTCCTGAAAGGACTTACCATCGGATTTGACGCAAATGCAGAAAATTAAATCATAAAAAATGTATTCAAAGTTACGCCAGACTCCGAGGAAACTTCCGAATTTATTCATAATTTTTTTTTTTAGAAAGGTGTGAAGAAAATTTTTCCATCAACGTGAAGTCAGAAATAGAATATTTGAAATTTTCCCGAGGTTTTTTTTGTTGTGACCATGGGTTTGTGATTGTTGGTGTTGATCCAATGGTAATCCTCCGAGAAAGACCTTAATTTCTTGGATATTGGCTAATTTTTCATCCAGAACGCGGCATTTTTGTTATTATACTGTGTGGGAATCAGGATTTGCCTTAGGAGCACTTTTATTGGAGGAAGTCTGTGACACTAGGGGTGGGACTAAATCAAGGGTTGAATGTATTTCCAACGCCCTGGAAAAATTCCAACACAAACGTTTTTCAGCTGGAATGAACCTTTTTCGCTCTAAAAAAAATGCTACTATATCAAAAATAACAAATGGTTAATTTGTACTAGTTGACCGCGGAAATTCCTCAAATATGGTTTTGATAGAAATTTGCATTCAAAATCGGAATGCAGTTCTTCAGATTAAAAAATGACAATTTCCGCTCTGTAACTTTCCAGAATATTATTTTCTGAGCTGAATTATCTATATCAGTGTTCCTCAACCTTCTTGGTCCCGCTGACCTAGAAATTTTTTGCTGACCAGCAAATTCCCAAAAAAGTACAGTATGAAGAGCAGCAAATTCCTAAAAAAAAATTTGCAGACTCTAAAAAGTTTTGCTTGAGGCATTGAAAAAGTTTCTGTATTTTTGCAAAACTTTAGTTGAGAACCAATGAAGCAGCTTTAGTGGAATGTTGTCAAAAAATTAGAAATGTGGCCTTGAAGAAAGGTTTTCTTTATGTCAAATCAAAATACAGTGAGACCCCCATAATGTGGACACATCGACCTGAAAACAATTCAACATAGGGACACTTGAGGACACAGACTAGACATTCAATTTCCCAAATGTCCATCCTGTGTTGAACTATATTGATTGTATCAGTTTAAATTGGGAGACACTTTTCGTTTTCATGGAATTATTGTGAGTATGTTGTACAAAAAACACCAATTAAAAATTGTATAATGTAAGTCTAAGGGAAAATAGACTCAACTCAACTTAGGGACATTTTGACTCAGGGACACTCCTGATGCACCAATTATGTCCACATCTTGGGGTCTCACTTCAACTTATTTCAGCAGGTGAAAATTTGTTATAGTTCTATTATAGGAGGAAAGCAAACTTTTAGTTTTCATCAGATATTTTCAATCGCCATGTGTCTTTCCAAAATTTAAAATAAAAATTGGTAGCAGAGTGTGGTTTGCAATCTTCAGTTTCTTTACAATCCATGAAGAATACATGGACAAATTGGCAAGAGTGTTTGGTGTACTGGTAATAGCAATTGGCGCATCACCACCAAATCCAACAGTGGGAAAAGATGACGAAAGTGAATTGGATAGTGATGGTGAGGGACTACCATATGTCCCATTGAAATCAAATGGACAGATAAATGCAGTAAGATAAGACCATTGCTACTTCAGATAAATTTACCATGTCTTGAAAAATTTTCCTGGGCACTGGTCCACGGACCACAGGTTGTGGAACACTGATCTGTGGTATATTGTTGGAAAATCAATTAATCCTTGACTTTTGATGCCTCTGTCGACTGATGCGGGGGTTTTGTTGTTGTCGCATTGACGATGCTATGGAAGGTATTTTAATTACGAGAAACGACTGTCGCCCTTCTATTCCTTTATTCCGTACGTTAGTCACTTCACTTGCTACAGTTTGAAAGGGGGGTGGGGGGAGATGAAATGTGCATTAGAGAAGGATTAAATCGGGAGGATGTGATGGGGAGGGTTCGAGGCCCAGGCATGGGCTGCGCGAAACTAGTGAAGGGGTTCAGGTGATGGAAGATCAGCAGCCGAGTGAAGCTACTCTGAAGCACTTTCGCGATGTCGGGGTGTCATTTGAGGAAGTCTCTCCTCTGGTTCCCATTAAAGGCCGGACGTCGACGAAGCTGGCCCGGGCCGCCTCGATCGTGGCCTTCGCCAAGGAGATGGCGTCTGCGGCGGCTGTCGGGGCCAGTGAGTTGCCGGGCAGGCGCCACCGGAGATCCCGCGGATTCGTCGGCGCCGACAGGGAAAGGAAGAGGGACAGGTTCAGTGTCTTTCAATTTAATGTTTTTTACTTTTTTTGTTTCTACCGCAAAAAGAGAAAAACGAAAGGTTGCAGTTTTTATCAATGAGTTGGACGGGGAAAATGTTTGTTAGCATGAAGTATTACTTCGAGTTTTAAACTTTGTACAGTTCAACCTCCTTAACTCGAATCGCGTTGAGTCTAATACATTAATTCCCGATGTGGAATTTTTTTTTCAATAAGTCCCTTGAAAAAAAGGTTGAAAAAATTGTTTCGTATAAATTGCTTAAAAATTGTTGAAAAAATGCTTTTAAGCAGAGCATTAAAAACCTCTTTAATTTAAAGGCTTTCCCCTCAAACCTCCATGCGTCGAATTTGCCGGAGGTTTTTTTGCAATTATTTTATTGACAGGACATGAGGAAAACGCATAAGAAATGTAAATTTATGCATTTTGAAATAATGTGACAGATTAATTGATCAAATGAACCTTTTCCTCCAACTTCAGCATCCTGTCAACTGATCAGAGAAGCAATCCAAGGCCCAAAATATCGATTACCATTGCCTGTGATTCTTTTTTTTTGGGTCTCCCCAACGTGATTTCTTGTTTCCCTAACTTAATTTTTTGGTGATCTCTTGAAATTCGACTTCAGGAGGTTCGACGCTGTTGACACGATTATTGCTGAGCGAAATTGAAACTGATGCCTGAGGTGAAGCTTTGAAAAATAACTACAGAAGTATTCCTGAATGTTTCGTGGAGCGAATTTTATGATTGATTTGAGCAGATTTTGCGTGTGGAAATTGATATTTTTGGATTCATAGCCTTCGTATTGACAAACCGTTGAAAATACTCGGAGCAGTTTTTAAGTATTTACTAGTTTATTTTATGTTCAAAGCTTTCAGCGGAATGAACCCTTCAAAGTTGTATTCACGCATTTCGGGCCAAAATATTTTGTTTTGTCTCGCCAACTTGACCAACCTTCGTTTTTACTTCATCACTTTGGTTAGCGAGGTACTTTGATATTTTCTTACATTTTTTTGAGAAAGAATTATTTTCCCTGTTGATGAGCTGAATTCTTTTGACAAGTTTTCCCTGACTATACAGGAATCGGGACTGGGTTTTGTCGCGTATCCACATCATGGTCCTCGCCCGGGGCGTCTTGTGCGTGGCATCTGCAATCGGGGCCTCTCTTTTGGCCTTCAACGACGTTGGCAACACTACCCTCTGGCTTAGTCATATGGTTCACTGGTTAATACCCTCATCATTATTTCCGTATTATGAGGGTTTTTGTATGTCTCTAGAAGAGATTTCATCATATTGAGGAGAATTTAAGGTACTCTTAATCCCGAGTTGACACGAATATCATGGTGTGTTCTATCTATGATTCAATCGTTGCTTGTATTTGTGTTTTTTTTTTTATTATTGAAGCGTCCTTTTTAGCCGATGAATCTTTCTGCGCATTTTTGCTCCGCCGAAGATGCATTTATCACATGAGCTAAATGTTATGCTATCAATGCATGAAGCAAAAAAATACAAAATAAGTCAGAAATATAAAAAAATTGAAGAATTGAATAAATTAATCGAAAATATAGAAAATTAATCGAAAATTCAAAAATAAATAAAAATAAATTGAATCTAAAAAAATTCAAAAATAAAATTGAATCTAAAAAAAAATTCAAAAATAAAAATAAATCAAAGATATACAAATAAAACAAAAAGATATACAAATAAATCAAAAATATATACGAATAAATCAAAAAGATATACAAATGAATCAAAAAGATATACAAATGAATAAAAAATATATAAAAATAAATCAAAAAGATACAAAAACAAATCAAAAAGATATAAAAATATCAAAAGGATATAAAAGAAAAAACAAAAAACAAAATCAAAAAGATATAAAAACAAATCAAAAAGATATAAAAACAAATCAAAAAGATATAAAAATATCAAAAGGATATAAAAGAATCAAAAAGATATAAAAATAAATCAAAAACTTATAAAAATAAACCAAAAATAAAAAATAAATGAAAAATTATAAATCAAAATGCTGTAGTGGTGCGTTGAATTGCGATAGAAAAGCTGAATTATTTTTTGATAAAAATGTTTTCATTCTACTGGCCGTCGTGTCTAGATCCTGCCTAAATTTCCGAATATCCTCTAGGATGGCTTGGATCATTTTAGGAATTCTTTAATAGAAAATTTACATGCTGGACTGCGTTCAACTCATTTAAAGCCTCGTGTGAATTGAGAAACCTTTTTAAAATGTTGGCCATCTCTTGAGTCATCGAGTGGAAAATATTTTTCTTCTGTTTATTTTATTCAATTAAACTTGCAGATTTTATAATTTCGTTCACACTTTTGTAGTTGAACATCATTCTGAAGAAAATGCTGTATAATGATCTCTGGTATTCTGTAGTCATTTAGTGTTGCAATTTAAATCACTCTGGTAAAAATACTGCGGCTCCAGAATTTTCGGGTTGTTCCTGGATCCTGGTTCACCCTGTACACTCAATTTTCTTCCTTCGTGCCAATTTTGAGTTTGTCTCAGATTCGGTAGCTAACTCGGTTCCTGATTCTTGAAAATATGTGGTATTAAATCACTAGTACCTTTACATCAGTCTATATAGTGCATTTTGAAAAATATGAAATTTTGGGTACTTTCCTGTTATCTCAGTGCCTACTTTCCGTGCACCAACCAGAAACTGTGAATTTCATTTTTCCGCATTCTGCTGAAAAAGATTTTGCGAGGCGGTTAGGTAAAGTTAAGTTAGGTCAGGTTATGTTAGTTACAAATATCTTTCAATTAACATAACCTGACCTAACCTAGCCTGACGAATACTGAATTCACGAGACAAAAAAATGGGTCCTGAGATAACAGGAAAGTACCTAAAAGTTCATATTTTTCAAAATGCACTATATTGACCAAATTTTGCAAGGGCCCGTTTGTTCTGTAGAGTACCCGCTAATTGTGAATCTTTTGAGTGATATTATTTTTTTGCTTAATTTTTTTTTAAATTGAAAATAAAAGGTTCGGCTCCTACGTGGTCTTGTTCACTGGGATCAGTTACGCGCGGAAAGCCCCTCTATTCATCCTTTTCCTCACCTTCTTGTTTACCGGCCTGACCAACATGGAGGAAGGCGAGATGCTGCTTGACACTCTTCAAAACCTGGATGGCAGTGCCCGGGCCGTGAGCGAGAATCAGCCCACCGTGGCTGGACAAGAGGGTTACTACGATTACGACTCGGGTACAGCACCGATGCTTCGGGTGTGGGGGGAGGACGCCCCGAAGGCGCCGGAACCGCGCGGCGCCAGGACGCGGCGAGGGCGTTATGGGTCATTTTTCGGATGACAATAAGAAAAGCGTTTTTGTTTTTTTTCTTCGCTCTCTCTCTCTTCTCGTTCCATTCTGTCGCAGTGTTCATTTACTACTCTGAGACGATGGTTTTTTTTGTTGGCTTGAAAAGAGTTTCCCTCTGGGGGCTTGGAAGGAATGTGAAGTTGATTTTTTTTGGTGCGCGGCTTTTTTTTGGATGTTGGTTGGATACCACGGAGCAGCTGGGTTTTGTTTTTGTGGGAAATGAGTTTAGTGTTTGAGTAAGTTAAAACATCGTTTTTTAAAACTATTACTGTCGAACTGCATGGGACCAGCAAACAAATTTGAGTTAAGGAAGTTCCCAGTTAGGGAAACCAATAATTTTGATTTTTTTATAGAAGAAAATTACAGGAAATTGTAATTAGTGATATTCTGATCATTAACTTGATTTTTGAATGAGTTGAAGGATGTTGAAGTTGGACGCATCAGTTCATTTTCCCTATTATTCGTTCGCTTCCTTTCAAAACACATCCGTTACATTTTTATTGCATTTTTGAAACGCGTCATGTGCAAATCCCAAAATCAGTTCTAAAAGTTACTAAAGGTGGACTCAGTCTACAAGGATCTCGACTACAGCGATATTCTCTTTTAACGATATTTTTTAGGTCCCATTGGGTTCTCTCCCCATTTCATATGGGTTCTTTTCAACGAAAGTCTCCTTACAACGAATTATTTCTAGTCTCTTGAATATAAGTTGAAAAAAAGTTTTTCAACTCGACAAAAAATTGATTTCTCTCTATTCAGCGTTGTTCCATGATAACTTGTATTTGATCCAAAATTCGAATTTATGACTTGAATGCTAAATTTATTGATCGCTGAGAACTGGTGTTCACGGGGGAATGCATTTTTTTCACAAATTTTCCTCAAAAAAATGAATGTGCGCGTCTTACTCATCAAGAGCTTGGGATGAATATGGTACTACAGTACAATATTTTGTTTAAACTTGCGGGCAGATCAGTGGCAGAAACTCCCGAAAAAAAAAGACGAAAATTATGCTTCTGATGCTTTCCTTTTTACCCGAGTGAAGGGAAGGTATATTTTCTCGATCATATTTTGAGTCGGTGATACGGGTTATTCTCAGGATGTGGCTTATATATTCGGGCTGGTATCTGAAAATAATACTTGGGCTTTCATACCAAATATAATTCTTGCGGAAATACGAGGATTTTTTTAAATTTTGGTACTGCGTCTTGTGGAAAGCGGGTCAGACTTGGAGGAGGATGTTGCCAACTTTTTTTTATAGGACTGCATGAAGCTTTTATTGCATATTCTCGAGGGATAGTCCATGCAAAATTCTGTTTCGAATTTTCCAAGTTCGAAGTAAGGCGGTGCAGCCTAATTTTTTATTCTAGCTTTTATTTTTCCAACCACGTTTTTCTGATTATTTTGATGCTATGAGCCATGATTGCCGCGAATTGATGAATAAATGAGAAGTAAATACTGTACAGTAAAGTACTTTCCAATCTTGGAAAGAATTATGGCGAATTGTGAGCCGGCGCATTTCGTTCTGAAATTCCGAATGGATTTTTAAGCACAGGTTTCTTCATAGTTGAAGAAGCGAAGAAAGCATGTGCAATATCAGAAAAAAATGTGTGCATAAAAAGCGATTATTCAGAAGATCCTGTCCTATGAGTAATATGCGGTTAATGAAAAACAGCGAATCTCTGTTTGGCCAAGTTGCGGTAGTTCAGATAACGTTGGTTAACAGTATAATTCAATTTTTTCTGTGAGATCTATTAGATGATGACCCTCGGTCAGCTTCTTACGTACAATATTTACATTCTTAAACATTTGTTCCTTTTTATACTTGCTCTTTTAACCTATGGAAGCGTGAACTCCGTAAATTTTTGGAATGCGAGACATTTCTGTACCGTTCAACATTGTGATTGATTGGGGTCAGAGTTCAGGAACCCGAAGACTTCAAGACAGAGCATGTTCTTTTTTGTTTGTCGGAATAGTTGTCTGACGAAGGCTCTCGCTTCGGTGGATTTATTCATCTTTCGAAAGATGGGTGTACTTCCAATAATGTCCTCAAACTAGAACTTTCATTACAAAAATGTTAGTCAAGAACCTATGAAACGGCTGTATAGTAGAATGTCTTCCAAAAATTAGACAGCTGGGCCTTGAAAAAGGTTTCTCAGAATGAATACTGTACTTGAAATACCTGTAATTCATTTCATCAGGTGGAAATTTGCGTGAAGGGTTATTCGTAGGAGAGCCACCTTTTATTTTCCATCGGATGATTTCAACTGCCATTGCCTTTCCGAAATTTCAGAGGAAGTTGACCGACTTCATTACTACCTTTGATGCCTTTATTATGCCAAAGAAACCGGTCGGCAGACCAATGATTTTGAATTTCCCCTCTAATTATTATCATTTTTTTTACGACAGGAGAAAGAGAAAAGGGAACGCAAACGAAGGCGTCGGTCGGTGGTCGTGAAACCCGGATCCGCTGGAAGATCTGGCAGTAGTCGAACGGGTTCTTCTTCGCACCTCCGAACCCCGCGTGGGACCCCGGAGAAGTTGCAAACGGTCCATGGGTCTCGCAGTTCCAAAGCCTCCATCCGTACTTCAACCGGTACTGGGCTGAAACTGCCGCCAATCAACGCGACCACCACCACCACCACCACAGGAACTCGAAACAAGTACCGCGTGATGCCGAAAGTCGACACGGGTCTGAGAGGTTCGAGTAACAACAAGACGCAGAAGAAAGTGATCGGATTGGAGACGGAAACCCTGTTGATGGCTGCTGCTGCTGCATCGAGTGCAGTCCGGAAGACGAGTGTCGTCAAACAAGAAACTGTCCAACAAGTTCGTCATTCTTTTTGTTTTTTTGTTTTTTTTGCATTCACCGATTCATCTGAAGTTTAGTTGAACCTATTTAATTCGAAATTCAATGGACAAGCAACAAAATTCGAGTGAGAGGGAAATGAGCATTTGTGTTGAGGGAAAGAAGGATGATTTACAGTATATTGTAATTGTTTATATCCTGGGCCTGAAATTGTTTCTTGAATGAGTTGACAGGATGCTGAACTTCGAGTCAAGGGTTCATTTGTCCAATTAGTCTTTCACTTCCTTCCAAAACACATCGTTACATTTTTATTGTTTTTTCTTTCCTGTGTCATTTAAATAAGAGCCAAAAAACCTCCAAAAAATTCGAGTTATGGAGGTTTTAGAGGGAAAGTCTTCGAGTTTGGGGGGGGGGGGGTTTCTAATGCATTGTTTTAAAGGGAATTCAGGCAATTACTTACAAAAAATTTTACCTTAGGATGTTTTTGACTTACGGAAGTTCAATTTATTGAAGTTCAACTGCATAAATGCACCTAAACATGAAACCAAGCCCCTTTATTCAAAAGCGGGAGAAAATGCATCGCCCACATTCCAAATACAGTAATTATGAATCGTGATGAATTACAATCGTAATGATGTGCAATTTACTGAGAAGTTTTAAAACCAAGTGAAGAAATGAAACTCGGTTCGGGTATTCCGGCTCATTATTCCTAATTCACGTCCCACAAAGAAGAGGTTCAACTGTATTGAAGTTTCTTTTGTTTGTGTACATGACGGAACAGGTGACTGAGACCGGGGCCCGAGTGTTTGGCTCTGATGCACAACGTCCTCGAACGACCCCGAACCTGGATTTTGGCAAAGCCTTCGAGCGGGAGATCGTGACCATCAGTCCGGCTTTGAGCACCGTCAGCGAACTCGGAACCAAGTTGCACAATGAAGCCAAGGGCACGGAAATCATGAACATTTTAAATTCCAAGAGGTCCAAGTTCAATCGGGCGATGGAGGCTCAACGAAAGGGTGCGTTGTTGCGGGACGAGGTCAAGCCGAAGCCGCAAAAGATTCTAGAGATTGACCTGGATACACCTGATGACAGGGTTTTGGAAGCCCTGAGACGGTTGTCCATTGGGGAAGAACGGGTCAAGTCGCCGGAGGGAAAAGTGAGACGGCCGAGGTGCTCCGTGTGTCGAAAAAAGTTGAACCTGACCAACGGGTTCGATTGTCGGTAAGAAGCCAAGCCCTGACAGAGAAAATTCTCGAATTTCGGCATCGGTTTTGTAATTCTTATATTTTTAGTGATATGCAATTCTTGAGGAAATTATTCATTTTTGTGCGCGAATCATTTTCACTGATGGAGGTCGTCAAATCCTTGAATGATGATGTAGTGGAATGATCTGATAAATAAGGATTCCATAATTTGAGAAGGGGCTCTGGTTTTTTTCTTGAATCACGCCCTGAATCAGGGACGAATTGATTTCAGAGATAAGTCGAAATTCTACAAAGAGAATTGCTAGAAATTTCGGAAATATCCCGTACTTTTTCTTGCGCTTACCGACGTGCAGGTTTATTCGCGTCTCGGTAAAAAGAAAAAAACTCGAGAAACGTAATTTCCAAATGCCATCAACCTTCCGTATAAAAAAAAAATAAAATAAAAATATATATATATATACTGTATACATATATATATTTTTTTATATGACAATGACAGGATGGGCATGGAATTAATGACTGATGAATATAATGAAGAAAATTCTTCGGAAAGATTTTCATATTTTTTCATTTTTTCTCCTGCTTTGCAGGTGTGGGAATTTGTTTTGCGGTTTACATCGGTACGCAGAAGCTCACGATTGCAGCTTCGACTACAAGACCGAGGGAAGAAGACAGATCAGCGAGAGCAATCCTTTGGTCATTGCGCAGAAATTGCCCAAAATTTGAAGCCCTTGTTTTAGTGCCTTCATTGCTGGATGATGAGCATTTGGTTCCAGGCAGCGATTACTCGTACCTGTGATTTTGTGGGCACCGATTTGAAAAAAATATTTGGGGGAATGAAACAAAGCAGAAAGAAATATTTAATATTTGTGATGAATCAAAAATGGCAATATTGGCGAAATTTGTGATGCGTCAATCGACGTTTTTTTTCTTCTTTTTTTCTGATGCTAGTTTTGAAATCTTAACGTTCCATGAAAGCAATATTGTAAGGTTTTGGGAAATGCAAGCTTGTGAGCATGAACCGAAACGAGCTTTACTGAGGATTAGAATTTATGCATTGCGCCATTTTTATCCACTCGCGTCGTAGTGTGAAGACTTCCGTAGTTTAAAATGCTTCTAATACAAACAATTTCTTCGCACGAAAAGAGTGTTCATTCATTTGATCATTTTCATGTCCACGAATAACTTGTTGCAGACTTCCTGTCGGTAAACAACGGCGAATCATCAACGGATTACAGACGTAGTGCTCTTGGATAGTACTGCGTATCTTTGATAGAGCCATCATCGCCTTACCATGTACAACTGGCGGCGCTCTATGACCTCCCACGCCGCGACAACGTTCACGGAGACTTGCAAAATAATAAAAATATTATGGAAACAACGTCATTATTTTGTTTTGATGGATATTTTCATCAGATCATGAACCAAGTTTTAAGTTGCTCTGGCAGATACAGTAGTGATTGTATTTGATTATTATCCGTGTAGGATACTGTTCCTGGAATGAGGGTCCTGTTGAAACTTATTACTGGTTTACGAAGTGATGATCGGCGAAAGGGTGGTATTTCTGTATGGAAGATTTATTCCCATCAGTTATTCTAGTAGGAATTGGAATGATTAAGCGTGGGCTTTTAAGTGAAGAAACTGTGGGAATCGTGTGTTCTTCCAACTGGTAAGGAGATTATTTAGCCGTAGTTGGTGATGTGCCTAAGGACGTTTACGATTCCTACCTGATTTCATGAAGCGTGTACATGGAGTTTTCTTGAAGGAGTTCATCGGATCGTCTTGCTGTTGCGAATCGTGTAGTTTTCTTTAACGACTATACATACATATCGTCCGTGAAATGGAATTTTTAGGAGAAAAGCACGTGATTGTGGACAAAAGGCTGATCCAGTCGGTTCTCGCGGCGTGATCTTCGCGTTTGCGATAATCGTTTTAAACAATTTCTGACGTCCGTCCAGTTCCGTTTGTCGTTGACATTTCATTATAATGGATCGATCCGAAGACGTTCCGGTCGACGAGGAAGCTGAGAGTGATGAGTCGTCGAACGAAGATGATGACGATTCTGACGACGAAGGTGGTGAAGAGGGCGAAGCAGGAGGCTTAGACTCTAGTTCTGAGGACGAGTCGACTGTGAGATGTCCCATTTGTCTCGCTAAGTTGCGGGACAAAGTCGTCGGAAATCCTGAACCTTGCGATCATGTTTTCTGCTTGGAGTGCATCGATGAATGGGCCAAGGTTTGTTACGTTCCTACTTGAATGACTCGAGGTTTTATTTTTTCTCGAAGAGATTTAAAAGAGTTAGAAATGGTTTTGCTACAGCGTTGATCATGATGCTGTACATCGGGAGCATCGTCATGCGTACGAATTTTGGGTTGGGATGAATCGTTGAAAAAGATATGAAGTGTCTTTCTCGGCTTTATACAAATTTCCTTGTTTCACAGAATGTAAATACGTGTCCAATTGACCGATTGGAGTTTGACCTCATCCTCATCCGCGACGTTCTGGATGGACCTGTCGTGGGGAACCTTGGTGTCGGTAAAGCAGCTGGGGAAGAACCCCAAGCCGAATTGATAGACGTAAATGACGTGACTCATTGCGAAGTGTGTGGTGATAGCGATCGTGAAGATCGCCTCCTGCTGTGCGATGGTTGCGACGCTGGGTATCACCTAGAATGCCTCAATCCGCCGCTCTCCCGTGTTCCGATTGAAGAGTGGTACTGTCCCGATTGTGATCCCGTCGAGCGCCGCACGCGTTTTGCTCGGGAGGTTCGTGGAATCCCTTCTTTTAAATTCCTGAAGATAAATGTCTTACTTCCATTTGTTTATCTTGTTTATCATGAAGGGAAACGTTCAACCATGTTTAAATTGTTTATACGTTACGTGTACGTGAGCTATGTTCAGTGATCAATCTTATGTTTCTTAGGCTGGAATAAATGAAGCTGAGTTGCTCTCATTGATGGATGCGGGTGACGCGAATATGCACATGATTGAAAGGAGCCAGCAACAGGAGAGAAGAATGAGAGCTATTCCAAGAACGAGGCATTCTGAGCGAGTTTTGGCAGTTATTGATCAGCGCCGGCGTGCCACTGAGTCTTCCGGTCGCCTGTCTCCAATGTCTGCTGCAATCGAGGCTGTGGTGCGTGTCTTGTTTAGTTTCCCAGTGCTTTTTTTTCTTTTTTGTGCTATACTTTCCGAAGCTATTTTTGATTTCGAGGATTCATAGCTGTCGTTCAGAAGAGTACGTAGTCGTCTTCATTGTTTATCAAGGTGTTGCGCGAGTGTATGGATTAACAGTTCATATGTCTGGCTAGTCGTAATTTTTTAGATTTTGCTGAATTATTTGTGACACTTGGTGTAGGTATGATCATTTCTCGAACCAGCGAAGGATTGGCTTGTCATCTTTCAATATTTTTCGTCATATTCAATATGATTTTTCGTTCGTCGTGGTAAAATCAGGCTTATTTGAAGAAGTTGCATCGAGTTCTGTTTATGCGAGCTGGATCACCTTAAGTGTAGCTGCGATTTAGGTCAAGAATACTTGACTGTTTCCAATTCCGACAATTTTTCATTGATTTCAGGAGTTTTCATGTTATCTTCGTTTGTTGTACGTGTTCGAAATATGCTAGTTCAGATTCTTGTGACAAAATTGTCCTGTCTCCTTGAGTTACAAATTGAATTCCATTTTATTTCTTCGGTTTAGGCTTCGGGAGCAGTTCCCATCCCAAGGTTGACGTGGTGCAGCAATCCTACTCGTAGGACTCGGAAAGCGCCGAAGCGTCGCAAGCGTGCTACGACCAAGAAACGTGGAACGACTAAAAAGAAGGGCAAGCGTACTACAAAGAAAAAGGTGCCAATTTTAATGTTCGAAATTTCATTTACAGTATTCAGTAATTTGTAGTTTAGTTTCTATGTCTTTATGAAACGGCGAGGAGTGTTCTGAATAGGAGAAAACTTCGGAATAAAATCTTGGAGGTGTCGATTGCAATGTAATTTCAACCAGAACATTTTTTGATTCTGTATTACGTAAAATTACCTGACCAGCACTTTAAATTTTTCAACAGTGGAAATCCAGAAATAACATGTTCAAAATTATCCTTAGTTTTTGTGTGAGCATCGTAATGTGATTCTCAGTAATGCTGCAGTGGTATCCCTAGAAAAAAGTCTTCATTAATTTTTTTTACTTTGGTCCATTTTTCATCCGGGACAAAGCAGTTTTGGTGGTACAGTGTTCAGTGAGTTAGCTCTGAATCGGGGTTCCGCTCAAAAACACAAGAGAGGGAGATCTGTGGCTTTGTGTGAGAAAGTACTGAATTGGGGCTTGACAGTATATTTAAAAGCTCAGTTATATTATTTTCAGTAGCAATATTGAAATACTTTGAATAAACCTTTGACGACGCGTATTCATTTTTATGGCATTTGGTGGAAAAGCCCATATTTCTGGTTTTTTAAAGTTTATTTTGTTGCTGTCAATACAGGGAAGGAAAGCAACCCGGCGTTCCCGGCCCGTTCCTCAAACGAGCATCACGTCAACAAGGTGTAGGATCGCAGCCGTGTTGGGTATCAAAATCGGCGACGTGGACCCCCGAGTCCGGGGAGGGTCCAGCAGAGGCAACTTTGTGAGACTGACGCCGCCGGAGGCTCGGGTAGGCCCTCGTGGTGCCATGCCACCCATTGCCCGTGAAGGTCCGGCATCCATGCGAGCTTTGTCCTTGTTGCGATATCGCTCAGGAATACCCAACCTCGACTTGTTCGGCTCCGAACCGTGTCTGGATCCTAGTGACGATGAGTGAGTTGCTGAGATTGAGGCGTTTTGTTTTCCGATTTTCCGCGTGTGTTTTTTTGTGCCTCAGAAAATTAATTACCTAAAGATCTGTACGAAACTGATGTTGAAGTTTTCTACGTGCCGTTTTAAAACTTACTTTTATGATGGGCTAATTTTTCCGTGAAACATGTGTGCTGTGATGCTATTGCACAGATTCGTGAGCAGCAGAAAATGTTTCATGGGCAATTGCCGGCGTTTTTTCCGTCGAAAATGTAGGATTATTCAATTCAATCCGAGTCTTCCGCGTATTGTTTCAGTGATGAAACCAGCAAAGTTAAGTGGGTTTGGCGGGATTGAAACGCTTTCCCTGCATCTCGTCATTGCATTGGTGCTCAAATCTCTTCTCCACAGGTTTGACGTCCCAGGACTCGCCCAGCCGTCGTCTTCTGTCCTTTCCCAAAGCCGAGCGTCTTCTTCCTCCTCGGTGAGCGTGTCTCGCCTGAAAAGCGCAGTTGTGGACGATCCGGCGCGTGAGAACTGCACACCTACCTTTGACGTGCTCGGATCCATCCTCAACACTCAGGACATGCTTTTATCCAAGTCGTCGCACTTGGTGGTGTCGCGTTACGGGAAAGTGACGGCGACGCGGTCAGTGACCGCCACCCCCACGTCGCCGAACTTGTCAAATGGCAGCGTGCACCCCAAGAAACGGGCTGTGGCGCAGTATAGCGGTGAGCCGTCCTCGAGTGGCAGCAGTCCCGACAGCAACGCAGATTCGTCTCGGTCTGACGGTGCGCCGTCGTCGTCGTCGTCATCGGGGTCGACTTCTCTGCCGACGGCGGATCGGAATTCCACGGAACACGTCGGCACCGGTGGTTCTCCGTCACCGGATATAATGTTGGTTTTTTGACGATTGTTTCGGGGTATACGTAGAATCGTAGAAATGCTTTTCTGTATTGAGTTTTGTATGTGATGGGGAATAATGTTTTGAAACTCGAATACCGAATTTACTTGTACCGAAGACTTTTCCTTCTCGAAAATTTGAATTCTGAAGAAAGTCATGGTACCCCTCATTCCGAAGGCGTCTTGTGTTCGCAAGTAAAATTCATAATTTAATTTTTGAATGACTGGCTCGCGTAAACGTTTCCTTCGGAAGATACGTTTCAACTTGAACTTATAAAAAATGAAAAATAAATAGGCGTTGTGACACAGTCAGGACATCCGGGCGTCCAAAACAACACGTTTCCTGTCTATGTGCGTTATCTTAAAATGTATTGTTCAGGTGTTATCAAAGTAAAACTTTCCGCTTCGCCCCACAATTGAGAATGTCGCCAGATGTAGCCTTGACGATTGAGAAAATTTTTTATGTCTAAAGTTATTGAATCATTTTGGTGCGTGAATCATGAAGATTTTCGGGCATTAATGCGTCCAATACATCATCTTGACTAGTGACTTTTTACTGAAAAATCATGGTCCTGGTGTTTTGGATAATTTTGTATTCCTTTTTTCATTCACCTCGACCTGTATTTTCCGGAACTTAAGTACTTGGGAAATATTTCTTCTCAATTTAATTTTTTTTTTACACTTTTCTTCACTTGTAATGTTATGAGGTGTCATCGTTCGTTTCAATGTAAGATTTCCGGATTTAAAGCTTTTTTATTTTAATAATGCAGTAACTTTTACTTGACTGCCTTAAACATTAATGAAAGATGTTTGAAAATCAATTTTCATCAGTTATGTTTTTTGACTTCATGAGGTGTGTTTTTCGATCACGCTTGGAGAAGTGTCTGAGTGAAAGAGATGCGAGCCTGCGATAATATTATTTTCCATTCGGAACAGGAGAAAGAAACGCGGTTCTGGCGAGCGAGAAAGTAGCCGGGAAACGTCGCCGCACCTGGACTACTCCAACGAGTACCCCCAGTTATCGCAGCAACGGAAATCCCCCACACAACCCCGAACTCAAACCCCGCCGCCGGAACGGAATGATGAACCAGACGAAGAACCTGCGGAAGAGCCCGACGCGTACAGTGACGCTGAAGTGCACAGCAGCTCTGATGAAGAAGAGCGCGAAACAGATTCAAAGAAACCAGACGAAGAAGCACCTCCTGTCGAGGATAAACGAGCTGAAGAGCCTGAAAATCCTGCGGAAGAAGAATGTGTGCAAGATGTAAACGATGCTGGGAATTCTTCTGTAGAACCCCCGACGGAAAACGCAACTGAGGAAACGGAAGAAAACAAGGAAGAGAGCATCGAAAAATCCCCTGTTGAAAACGCCGAATCGTTGGAGTGTAAGAAAAGCAGTCCTTTTCCGAAAGACGCGGAGGACGAAGATAAACTGCCTAGTAGACCGGAGAGTGAAAATTCCGGAAAAGAAAAAATTCCGGTTGACGATGATGAGCAAGAAGAGACCCTCACGGATTCATTACGAGAGACACATTTGGGAAATGAAGAACTTGTTCCATCGAGCGAGGAACTAGATGAACGTATTTCTGCACTTTTAGAGCCTGAATCTGAGAAGCCCGAAGAAAAGGAACTAGAAACAGAGGTTCACGCATCACATGAGACAAAAATCATTTCTGAAGAAGCCTCGGGCCCGAAAGAAGCAATGCTCGACGGAGAAAATGTGGAAGTTGAGTCGGAATGTAAGCCTGATAATGTAGAAATCGAGTCGGAATGCGGGACCAATACGGAATTTGAGGCAAAATTGAGGGCCGAAAATATTCCAGAAGAAGGCGAAATTGACGGAGACGCCGAATTGTCGAATCAAGTCGATAACATGGTTCCTCCGGACACGGAGAACATTTCTGACAACAATGAAAGCATTGAGTTCAGCTTGAGTGAAGAAGGAGAAATCAGTGAAGATGAGGCCAGATTGAAGCCTTCGTCGCCGCTTCATGTTCCTCATTACGCCCCCGCACCCAGAAGGTTTGCATTTTACGCTTCTCACTCTACTCAGAGTTGTGTTTACTGTAAACAATAAAATATCAGGTGGAAATTCAAGATAATGCCAGTTGAAACCGATTCAAAGTCGGCGGTTTCGAGACTTTCTGTTGATCTTTCATTTCTTTTATCATTTGTGGGTTTTTTGCGTGAATAGCCCACGTAGGTTGCTTGGGGATTTCATTTACTCTTACACCCTGAATCTCGTTACGTTGTCTCAGTTCTAACTTCTGAGTGGGTTAGGCTAGGTTTTCACAGGGCTTAATGTTGTCAGGGTCGTTCAGATTGTGCCTGGTGACGCAAATTATTCAGGAAACGCTTTTAAAGAACTCGAAGTTGATTGTTTGGATCTAGAGAACGAATTCGCGTTTCGGCTTGCAGAATTTTGCTCTCTTGAGTTTGCATATCCGTCATTAGTCGAATTTTGAACTTTTTCCTTTTTTTTCGCAGATTTACGCCGCCTCCACCGTATCCGGAAACCGTGTTGGAAGATCGACTACAAATGCTGGAGCAAAACATGGAACCTTCGCCACATCGAGATGGTCAAGATCCCCTTTGGCGCCGTTCCAACCTTAAACACAAAGAAAGATCTTACCGAACTGTTACCACCAAAGGTGAGCGGAAAAAGAAGCCGTCGTCGTTGGAAAAAGAACCGTCGCCGGTGCGACCACAAAAAACTGCGGCGTCTTCGGAGAAAGAGGCGGCAGCTCCACAGAAGCAAAAGAAGAAAACAAAGAAGAAAGAACTCGAGAGGTATTGAGAGAGATTTAAAATGTTTTAAAAACTAGCTTATTTTCGTAATCCCAAATTTCTTTCGTCATGCGAAACATCGTTGACGTACCAATGATATTGACGTTTTTCCTTTGAGCAAAAGAAAATTTTCATTTAGCTGACGCATTTTCTCGTCTTCGTCGTGATTTAATGGAGAAAACCCGGCGATTTCTGTTGATAATTCGGTATTCTTATTTTTCAAGGTTCAGTGGAAATAACGAGGGATGGCTCACAGGTTTTATCAATACCTTTGAATAAAGTTCTTTGGATATCCCGATATAAGTTGGAATCCTTCAAGCAACTGTCGAATCAATATCACAAATGAAACGAGCTCTTTTATTTGCTGAAGCTGTTCCTTGAATTTCGCCTTCAATTGGGGAACCTTTTCCTCGCCAATTGACAATTTTTGTCGAAGTTCTTATCCAACATTACTAACACAAACATTTATGTGATCGGAACAAACTTATGGGTCAGATCTGTCGAAGTGATTATACAGTGTACTGTACCCAATTTTTCGAAGTATTTGATAGCACTTCGGAAAACCTCCGAAGTTATTAAGCATGAAACTGTTGTAAAACTTATATAAACTTGTGATAGAGTGAAATTTAGACATTGTCCTCTTTCAATTTTAACCTGGATCAGCCAGGATTGTAACAGAGGTCAGAAAAGAATCAAATGTGACCTAGAGAAAATTCATCTCCTTCCATCCATAAAAAGACTCGATGGAGACTGAAAAAAAAAAAGAATCATCTGTCGTGCTTTTGCGCAGATACAACGTGAGACAAATCGTGGAGAGCAAACGGAAAGGACAAGTTTCGAATGTTCCTCGCTCAACGTTGAGTCCGTTGAAGCGCAAACTTTCATTGGATGATCATTCGACGACGACGCCGAGTGTCGCTGAAAATCTGCCTCGGGGCCCGCGGCGGTCCTTTTCCCCGCGTTCTTGGAGCCGGTCGCCTACACCGCCACCGCCCCGACGTCGGAAGCGGTCGCCGAGCTTCCCTCCGAACCCGCCGGCGTCCGCGGTTGAGCACGACCGCCGTTGGCACTCTCCGCCGCCGCCGTCGTCGTCGACGCCGTCTTCGCGTAAACGACGCGTGTCTCGGAAACGCAAGCGACGGTCGCCGTCTCCGTTGCCCCTGCCGCCGCGGAGATTCTCGTCGAGTCGGTCGCGCTCGTTTTCCGCGTCTTCGTCTTTCTCGGCAGAAGAGAGGTGGAGAAGGCGAAGCGGTGAAAGGAGGCGGAGGAAGAGGAGGAGCAGTGCAAGTCGGAGCCGGACGGTGGAGAGGAGAAGGTCGACCAGTGGTCGGCGGCGAAGAGGAAGAAAGGGCGGTCGATCGAGGACTAGATCGCGGACTAGGTCCAGGTCCGTCTCTTTCTCCAGGTCTGTGTCTTCGTTGAGCCTGCTCTCGGAGCCCGGACGACGGAATAAACCGAAAAGGTGCGATTTTAGCAACACATCGGATTTGAATATTTATTTTTCTTTTGTTCCCGTTGATGGGTTGATTGTTTTCTATCTTTGTTTGTTATTGACTGGCGATGATCTTTTGATGAGACCTTTTTCATGCAAGTTTGTAATTGAGTTGAACCGAAATTGCGGGAATTGTTGTCGAGGACCATAATACGAAAGAATTCGAAGGTTTTCGAACAAAAATGGTGTGCAGTGAAAAAGACGGTAGTTCTTTTGTGCTTTAATTTCAAATCTGTCTTTTGAGTCGTGCCGAAACTATTAAAAAAGTTGGTGAATACCTTGAGGCTTAAAAAAATTGCTTCGGGTGTCGGAAATGAAAATTTCATGACAGTACGGTACTCGATAAAAATTCCGCGCCGAACCCAATTATCCTGGTATCCTTACTCAATCAATGAGGCGCAAAGATGAAAATTCATAAAAGACGGAGGGGAAACTTGAGATGACGTAGTTTAAATTTGATATGCCAGGGTTTTCCCCCGTGACACCCGCCAGAACTATAACAATTCTTCATTTATGCGATGAAGAAAATTTAAAACGAGGATTTCGGATTTCCTCTTGTGCAACACCTTTTCCTCCCGAGTTTTGCTGCGGTTTTTAATTATTTTCTCTTTTAAAAAATCATTTGGCCCCAGAAATGATGTGAATTTGTTGTGCAGTACAGTACCTTTCTTTTGTGATTTTCTCTTTTTTGTTCCAGCTGTATCGATTCATACGTTGATCACAGTCATATGGTTGATTTAAGACGCAGTTGAAGTGAAATGCGATGGTTTTCCAACCTGTCGTGGAATTTATCAGCGCTGCGCTTCACCGCCTAACGGTTACAGTACTGCGCTGCATCGTGAACGTTTATGACTCACCTATCTTTCTCTCGAACGCGAACTTTCGAAGTGTACCACTGGCTATATAGGTTTTATTTTCTTTCAGAAACGACAGGGGTTTTGAAAAACGACGTCGGTCGAGGAGCAGGTCAAGAAGTCGAAGTGTCAGCCGATCGCGTCGAGGACGACGCCGTTCGAGGACCCGAACTCCACCACGTCATCGACAGCGATCTCGCAGTCGAGAAGTGAATGTTCCCGCAAAATCCAGTGGGAGCACGAGCAAGAACAAACCCAAGAGCAAGCGGGACCCGGAGAAACCTGCCGTCAAGAGCGCACCATTGCCAAAGCCTGCCAGTAGTAGTAGTAGTAATCGCAAGGGTAACAAAGAAACCCCTCCGACCAAGGTAGTGAAGAAGAAGAAGAAAAACAAGGCTGTGTCTGGCCCTGCTCCTCCTGTTCCTGTAGTTGAGACCCCGGCTGTAAAGGTATGCATTGTAAATTGCTCTTGAATTATTGATTATTTATTTTGAATGTTTTTAATCGATTTTATTTTTTGCGAGAGTCGTCCGAAAGTAATTTTTCGCTTTCCCCATGGAATTTATTGTTTTCTTCAATGCGAGAATCAACTTTTTTTTTAGGTGCGAGCTAATATGCTGAATTCCGAACGCAGGCTTATTTTTCAAGTTTTGGAATTTACAAATTTTTGTCTTTGCTTTCTGAAGTCCCATTTCCTCAACTCCATGTTTTCTTTTGGTAATTGAGGAGGTTCTCCGTCATTTTGGTTCTAAAGGCGTCTAATTTTGGTTTGAATATTTTAGATCTTATTAAATTAGATGAACTTTCATCAAGTTGAGTTGGTTGCAGTCAGATCAATTTCTGAATCACGTCAATAATTTATTTAAATCCGTCAGACATTCGGAAGCATCGGACGTTGAAATTCGAAAAAAAAACTTGTTGAAGATATCTTGGCGAAACTGATTTAATTCGGAAGTGCGATACTCTTGACTTGCGTTTTTCCTGGTGTCCCGCGCCTTGACTGAAATGATGAATAATTTACCTTTAATTTGAATCTTTTTCGTCAGGAATTGAAGAAATCAAAGAAAGTTGTGAAGTCTGCGTCGAAGCAATCCTCGTCAGTCGCGTCTTCGCAAGTTGTCAGCAAACGCGTGATCTCCTCCGACAACCGCCTCACTGTCTGCGTCAATTTCTCGCAACCCGATAATCGCAGATCAAAATCTTCTTCGCCGAAAACGTCATCTGCTCCGGTTGCCGCGGGAGACCGAAAGCGGAAGAAGGAGAAGCGCAGTAAGGGTGAGAGTAGCAGCAGCAACAACACTGGGAACAGCAGCAGGAAAGCTGGAGTGAAGGAAAAGCAGGATGTTCCTCCAGTGTCGTCCTCTGGTAGAGGCGGTGACATCGGTCTCAGTAGGAGTAAGAGAAGAAAGCGAGACGTGGTTGTCGTGGATTTGAGTGACAACGATGGTGGTGATCGTCACAGTGACGATGACGATGTTGTCGTCTTGGAGAAAACTGCGAGGTTGGTCATACTTTCACTTTTTTCTTCATTTTCGCTTTGAAAAACTTGTTCTCTGTGAATAACGCGGTGTCGAATATTCGATAATAATCCGGGACGCATGAAGAAAGTCAGTGTTCCTAAGAAAAACGATCAAGTAAGCAAGCATCGAAATATATGCATTACGTTAGTTTCAAAAGTTGCGATTCGAATGAATTGTCTAATAGAACATGATATTCTGGTGATGCTTTGCGGTTGTGCTTTTCCTAATCAGTATTATGTACACAGTTGAGTCTCGATAAGTCGAACTTCCGTAAGTCGAATACCTCCCTATGTTAAAATGTTTCGAGTCTCTGTCTCAATTCTTTTAAAAACAATGCATTAAAAACCTCCCTGACTCGAAGGCCGTACCCCTCAAACTTCCATACTTCGAATTTTTGGTGGTCGTTTTGCAATTCTTTTACTGAATTTTTTGGAGATCGTTCGGCTATTCTTTTACCTGAGAAGCAATTTAAGACCAAGAATATCGAGCAGGGAAAAAAGTCTCAACACCAGGAAAGCGTTTCTGTTTTATTCGACTTTCCGGGATAAGTTTCAGTAAAATTTTCGTTGCGTCCAAATCGAAAATGAAGAAAGGAGAAGGCTTAATTTTGATGAATTTTATTTTAGCATTTCGCTGCCGGACTCTCCGCCGCCGGAACGGAGAGCCCCGCGTACGCCGTCCCCGGAAAAGGAACGTCGTCCTCAGACACCCGAAAAGCCGCCGCTGAAGTTCAGTTTGGGAAAAACGCTGGGTTCCAGGCAGATCCGCGCCAACGTTTTAGGCGACGATCCTGATTCGGAACCCGAAGCAGAAGCAAATCAGGAGTCTCAGGAAAAGGTTGGTCAATTTCCAAGAAAGAAAAAAAGGAAAAAGAGATTGTATTTTTTTCAAATCTGTTCTTTTTAAACCGTGATGTGCTCGCTTTTTTTTTCCTCCATTGATATCCCCAGAAGCATTTCTGAACGACGGCGAAAGATCACGGTACAATACGAAATTAGTGTTAATTTATGATGCCTCGTGGTGTTTGAAACGCCAACTCTGTTTGCTTGCAAACTTTTGACAGCAGACGATCACTTGTAAATGCGTTTTAACTGGGCGAAATTGGAAAGTTCGTGATTGAAGTCTGAACCTTCGCTTTATTTCGTGGAATCAAGATGTGTGAGATTTCAACGAGCCGCCTTGAAATATTAAATGCATGATTGGAAATTGATGTAGAACTCCAACTCAAGGTTCAGTTCCCACGTCATGAAGAAGAAAGTTCAATCATTAAAGGTTATTACTGTGTCAATATATGTAAAAGGCATGATGCATATAAAAGTGGGATATCATAACTTTTTTCCTTCGGAAGTATACCGTATACCGCAATGAAAAAAGTTGGGATCACAAATCAAAATAACTATAATTTGAAAAACTTGTGTTCAAAGTCAAGATTTATTTCCAGAATTATATCCCGAAAAGCTCTTGAAAAATTGAGATTTCCGATGTAATTTTGTGGTCCGTTTCTTCAGCAGCAGACGGTGCCGCCACTTTTGCCACCCCCTGCGGTTCCCTCCGCTCTTTTGTTACCGATGGCGCCGCAAACCGGAGGACTGTTGGGCGAAATCAGCAAACTCATGCTGGCCCGGGAGCGAGCGGCGGTGTTGGAGCGCGATCGGTTGAATGCCGCCGTGGCGGCCGCGGCTGCCCAACAACAGCAGCAAACAACCGGCAACGACACTTACGATCCGTTTGAGCCGACGAGAAGCCCGTCGCCACTCATGGACGAGGCGGAAGCGAGTCGAGACAGTGCCGGCACTCCTGTGCAGGTTTGTTTTAATTCGTTGTACAGTACTGTAGATTGGGACCCCGACCTACGGACGATTGGACTTTGAGACCATTTAAACTGAAAGAAAAACCTGCCCCTACATCTGGACAATGTCTTGAGATACAGAAACTTTTCCAAAATTTCTAGAAAAATTGTGTTTTTCTAAATTTGTATTCATCTTGGAAAAATTGAACTACAGTATTTATATCCACAAAAATAAGGATTAAATTTGCAATACTGTGTAAAATTACTCAATGAAAAACAGGTTAATTTTGTGTTTCTTTTTTCAAAGATTTTTTCCCTTCATTTGTTCACAGTATAGTTGAGAGTTCTTCTTTTTCTTCGCTTCTCAGAGCTCCTTCTGTTGCCGAAAGGTCAGATTCTGTGTGATTTGCTTTTGGACTGGTATTTTCTGTATCTTGAAATGGAGTCACAATTTTTTGTCGACTTGATTCGTAATTTTTATGAACAGGAGAAAGAATTAAAGATGTTCTCATTGAAGTCTATGAGAAAACGTGATCCGACATTGGTACAATGTGCAAGAGTAGTTACGTCCGTCTCGGGGCCCCACTTCGTGGCCTCGTTTTTGCTGCATTTGATGAGTGTGGCGGGGAGTTTTGGCGCCTTTTGTGTTAGATTTCGCCCGAGTTGAGGGTTTAGAACTTAAGATTGTGTGCGGTACAGTGTGAGTGAAGTCAATCTTTTACTGTTACTGAAAAGAAAGATTTTAAAAAACTGCGTAACCTTCGTCATATTTTCTACAAATCCTTGGTCATTTATTTTTTCTGGATGAAGCCATCTTACTTCATTTGGACAAGGATCAGTGATGAAGGTAGCTATGGTGATTTGCGAGAGCCTTTTCAGTTTTCGTAATCTTTCGTTCAAATATTGGTCATCGTTTATTCAAAATCGGCTCCACGCATTCTAGCTTGAAGTGAATTATGTGATGAAAGACTTCGGGGTAAGTGCATAACGTGACTTGATGAGAGGAAGTGCGAATTTGTGTTGGCTATGTTTGAATTTTAATTGTCCATATATATAGTGTCACTAAAAACTGGAGCAGTGTACGATTTTTATGGGTTTTGTTTTTCTTTTGCCAGCTGCTATTTTAGTGTCTTGTGCTTTTTGAGGATTTGAAGTTCGAACGTCTCGACTATCTCACCCTTTTTAATGTCTCTCCCTGTTCATCAATACCCTAAATTAATTAAAATTCGCGTTATACGACCTTGAAATATTTCGCACTTCCCGTAGGTAACCGAATTAAGGTCTAAACGTACGTGAAAATTTCCGTAGGAACCTGTCCATCTTCTATTTGCATCTGCTGTACAATACTGTATATGCATAAACTGGGAGAACATTTTGAGATGGATATTGTGTATTTAAGTGAGAAAAATTAATTATTAACCAATATTAGTGAGGGCTGCAATTTATGATTAACTGTGTTCTGTGGGGCAAAAGAAAATTTGTAATGGGTGTGTCTTAAGACTCCATGAGTTCTTCTAAATCGTCCATCTTCTTTGATATGGCAGGACGAAGATCCAGTCTCAAATTGCCAGTCGCAGCAAGGTATCGAAAACTCGATGAATGACTCTCGAAAAGGATCGAAGGAAACGGCGACCATCTCAATTGTCCCGCTGTCGAGCTTGTGCAGCAGCAGCAACAATAACAACAACAACGCTAACGCGATGACAACGGGAGAATCTAGCCCAAGTGGAGCCGAGACGGACATGTTTGCGCGTACCCCGGCAGCATCCCCACCGCCGGATGGCGTCACAACGCCGGCGCCGCAATCTTCCACCGTCGCCGCCGCCGCCTCCACCACTTCGACGACGACCATCATGTCAGACAACGACGTCATCACGATCGACGATGCGGGTGATGACGACGTCAACTTGAGCTCTGCGTTGGGAGAAGAAACGGCGAATAGGAACGGAGTGGAGTTGCGGGTGCGCGGAGAGGAGTTGATGCATCCGTCGGTTCAACAACAGGTTCAGCCGTCCGTGGACCTCAGCAGTATGTTGCAGGCGCAGGCAGTTCCGGTGTCTGAGGTCACCGCTCAGCATCACCAGCAGGTTTGTCATCGTCACTTTTTGTTGTTGTTGCGGAATTTTTTTTTTTAAACGGCGGTATTGGGATGTGAGACGGGGGTGGGGAAGACTTCTGCGGACGACGCTGAGTAGTTGAGACTTATCTCGCCGAATTTATTTCGTATGTTTATTGTGGAAATCAGAGCTAACGATACTCGAATTTACTTGAAAACAGTATACAGGTGGTACCCCGCAAATCGCCCCTAATCTCTTACTGGTCTAGGGTCGAATTGCGAGTCGACCTCGCAGCAAATTCGACCGTCGAATCACGGGATGTCAAAAATTGAGGTACCACCTGTACAGGTGTACTCTCTTTCTAGAATGAAATTTATGGGGCCAGAAAAAAATATAGTTGTAGGGAGAATTGTGTTGTAGAGAATCCCTATAATATAGGGGAAGAACTCTTGGACCGAAAAATTGCATTATCGAGAGAAATCGTTGTGGAGACGATGACGATCTGTATGACGCGCGTCTATTTATTTTTTTCTGAAAAAAAATTCTGATTTTGTTTTTGAAAATAAGGTGTAGTTTTAACTTTTATATCGATGCACATTCAACCTGTTCAGTGCCGTAGTCTGCTTTGGTTTGATTTACAGCTTTAATTCAACTTACAGCTTTAATTCAATTTACAGCTTCATTATACAGTACTTGTAGCTCGATTCAAAAATTTCTCGATCAGGGCCGATTTTTATGAATACTTTATTTTTGTCTCAAAATCTCTACACATATTTTCTATATTTATTCAATCAAATTGGGATGATTTCCGTTTTTGCTGTTTACCTCGAATTGAAAAGAGAAGATTATCTAGTCTTCCCCCACCCTAGGTAAACACAGTTTAATTTTTCATTGTGTGTGTTTTTTTGTTGCAGTCTCAAATCATGCAGCAGTTATTTTCCAATTCGCCGTTGCTGCAAAGCGCCATGACACTCAGCGCAGTCATGACGCCCGTGTCCGCCCTTGGAATGACGACGCTCAAGTTGCCGACGGTGAGGAACCTGCTCAATAGCATCAGCAAGCGACAGCAGCAAGTGCAGAAACCGGCGCCTAGAATGTCTCAGCAGCAGCAACAGCAGCGCCAGCAGCAGGTGTCGAATGTACTGAACCGGTCCCCGACGTCGCCGTATTCTCCGGGCAGTTCCGAAGGCGACGACTTGTTTGCACCGCCGCCCGACGACGTGCTCAAGTCGAGAACCAAGTCCAAGAAACCCGACGCTCGGAAAACGAGATCGCCGAAGAAACAGGTATGGGTTTTATTTTGTGGAAGAAGTAATTTTTTTTTTTAGTTTTTTCTGATGTGGATCATTGCGTTGAAACGAAGTCATAAGATAGATTTGCAGTTGAACCTCGATAACTCGAACCTCCGTAAGTAGAATTTATTAGAGTCCTTGTCTGAATTTCAATGCATTGAAAACCTCCAAATCAAAGTCTTTTCCGCTTGAGCCTCCACTCGAATTTCCTGAAGGCCCTTTGGCTATAAATTTTATCGACTCAGAAAAGAGAAAATCATGAAAAAGTAATTTGATGTATTTTGAAAAAAGGGAAAGACTAATTGAGCAAATAAGCCCTTCCCTCCAATGTCAGCATTCTCTCTCTTTCAAGAAGCAATTTCAGGCTCGAAACATCACCGATTACCATTTCTTGTGCGTAATTCTTATCTTCTTTCCCCAAAAATTAATGCTCCCTAGTTTAATTGTTGGCTGGTTTCTTGAAGTTTGACTTCGAGTTTCTACCGTACAATGTTGTACTGTATCATGTAAGCTGAGGTGAAATTAACCCTATTTTCAAGCATTTATTCTTCGCTTCTGTGAGAAGCTAATCGGGGTTGAGACTTACGTGAATTCCCAAATTATTTACCTTGCGCATTGATTGAGTCACGTTGATCGCGAAAATATTATAAATTTTTTTAAAAGGTTTTTTTCTGATTTTGTGATAGGTGAAATGCGACAAATTGCGATTGATGCGAATTATTCAAGAATAGCATTGTACTGTACTATAACAGTACAATGCTGATTTAGTGTCAGGTTTCGACATCGTTCATGTAAATATCACCTGTGATGCGAAGGTTGCATGAATTTCAATGTTCAATCGCTTTATTTTGTAAATGTGAAAAAATTGCTACGAATTTTGAAATGCATTGTGTTTCTGTCTTCTTTTTTTTCAGATGTCATCGCGAGGACAATACGATAAACCCAAGTTGTCGAAAACCGCGTTTGATGCACTGTTCCAGGGAAGCCCTTCCTCACCTCAACCCGCGAGAGGGGATAAGCGAGATGGGCACAAGAAGCCGAAAAGTGATGCTACAGGTTTAATTTCTTCTTGGTTTTATTACGGAGTGATTAATCTATAACGTAGTGCGAAGATGGACTTTTACATCACTGTACATACTTTTTGGTTTTAAAATATTAAGGTGCCCCAAGAAATTTCTCTGGACTTGGAACTTTGTAATCCGTGTGGAGATTGTTCCGTACTTTGTCCACTCTGTGGCCTTGCAGTCATAATTCTTCTAAATTCATCCCAAGGTTAATTTGCTTTTTTGGGTCCTCGTCTGTGGGCACGTAGCATTGCCTAAGCAGCGTAGAAGAGTCGCTTGAATGATATTTCCTTGAAATTGTGAAGTTCCTTCCCTTTTAAACCCGTCGATAAAAGCATTACCCATGTTGATGTATTTCTAGCTTGAAAATCGGAACGTACCGGAAATTCTTTCAGTTCCGCTGCATAAAAAACTTTCTCATAATCCTATTTTCAAATTTTAAGAGATGAGGAATGTTCCGAATTTCGTGGGTCTCGTGGGTTTCATGGTTATCAAGTGAGGTGGACGTTATTTTGGGGTTCTTTCGAGTGTTTGGGAAAGAAAACTCTGTGGCCGTGATCTTAATGTATCCTCAACATTCTTCTTGAACAGGTAAAGAAAACGGGAACTCGAGGATCTTGGAAGACTTGCCGAGCTCTGCAGTAGACATGCAGATCAAGGATAAGGTAAGCTGTCCTTGTCTAAAAAGGAAATCGTAGATTGAGGCGGAAGTGGTATTTTAATTGAAATACTTTACTATATTACTCTCATTTGATCGTTGATTTAGTATCGTTACGATTGAGTAATCGTTCGATTTCGGATCTTCCTGTCGCCGATGAAAACTTTTTTTTTTCGGACGAACACTGTGAGAAGTGATTTTTAATCTCTTCTTCTGTTTCTAGTTCTTTGAGAAAGTGCAACGGCAGAACCGAGCAGCGGAGGAAGTTAAACTTGCCCTCAAGCCGCATTACTCAGCTCGACGAATAAGCAAAGAGGCTTACAAGGCGATACTGGGGAAATGCGTTCCGAAGGTCAGTTGGTTGATACACCAGATCCATTCTAGGGTAAAATGTGGAAACATGCCATTGTATGGAATCCAAATGTTCGTTTTCTTCTATTTTAGACTCATTACTGAAACCTCAAATAGTGAAGTAAAGTACAGTACTGAACTGTAATCCTTTTTTGAGAGGAAAAAGTGTGCTTTGAAAAGACTCTTTACTTGTCCGCAGAAGGATATGTGATTCAAATTATGAACGATACCCACTAATTTAAAATCTCGAACATTTTATGATCCACACTTCTCTATATCTAAATTACTTTAAATTAGTGGAAAAGATTAACTGATCGAGATACAGTACGGGTAAAATCTCTTCACGAAAAATTTTTGTCCCGGAAAATATATTTTTGTAACAAAAAATTCGTCATATAGTATTGAGATTCCCTCAGTAAATTTCGATATTTTTCCCAAAACATTTTACGGTATGTTAATTCCCTCAGGCTCAATTTTTTTCACTACAGTATACTGTTTCACATTTAGAAGCAAAGTCAAGCTTTTGAGCAGATGATTCAATAATTGTATCACAAGTACTGTACTGTATAATTAAAACTTGGGGAAACTCAATTCGTTGTACTCCACTGAATCCGGGAAAAATTATTCTACTGTGTTTTTTAGCGCTGGTTCCTAAGTTTAGGTATTTCTTTTGAAAAATTATTCCGGTGTAATGAACAATTTCGTTATAAGTTTTGACGAAACCGTATCTGGGTATACAGTACTCATTTACAGTATATAGACGATATGTTCTTTTGTTTGCACAGATCACGAAGAACAAGAAGCCCATAAATCCCATCAAGGTGCAACAACTGGTGGACATGTACGTAACGCGGGAGGCGAAGAACCGGAGGAAATCTCATGCTTGAGAACTTTGTAGAGATGGACGATTGAGTGGTGAAAGGGAAGAGGAGGAACGGACGGTTTTTTTTTTTGGATGTAAGCCCAGGAACAATTTTCGTCTCTGCGACCGGATTTGTTTTTGTTTCTTGTGTGCAGTCGTATTATTTCTGGTTAGAATTTTGACCGACCAAGTACCGTGTTCGGTTTTGTTCGTTTGTTTGTTTTGTTTCCGCTGTTGCGTAGACTCCTTGCGAAGAACACCCACTCGCCTTTTATTACCCACTCGCCTTTTTATTGTTTTCATGTGATTATGCGTGCGTGTGCGTCATCGGGGAGGTTTAAATTAAAATTTGAGTTTTTTCATACGCGGCTGCGTGGTACGTCATTTCTTTGGCATGCTGGGCGTGGTACTGTATATGGGAAAAAACTTCCCAATATAAAATTCGATATAGGTTTTGAGCGGAAGTTTTTGTCAAAATGAAAGATCATGGAGAACAGGTCCTGTCCCTAACTGCCTATGCGCAATACCTGAAGCTTGTTTTTCATGTCCGACGAACCGTAATCACATAATCAAATACTTGTACTGTACATGGACATACCTGGATAAAACAAATACTATTTTGGCTAACAGTCCTTATTGATTCTATTCCCCGATCATGAAAGGGAAAACGGCTGGAAGACATCTTATTTTTCGGACAAAGACGTTGTGAAACGTGTTACAGTATTTATTTACTCATCTTCGTTATTTCTAGTTCTTCGAGTTATGGCACGGGGTAATTTTGGGGCACCTATCTTAAGGTGCTGTTTTATGCATATTCCACGTGTCATAGGGACTGTTGGAAGTGCAGTACTGTACACAGTAGTAGGTGCATGATTATAAATGATCTGCCAGTCAATGGTAAGATTATTTTCCAAGCATAGTAGGGCTTCGATCATTGAGGGATCCTAGACTTTTTGCAGGTGTAGCATGCCATATATTGATCAACTAAATTCTAAATCTTTGAGTGAAAAAAAGGTGGCCTGTATGTACAAATTTACAGATATGTCAGCTCTTTATTTTGGAAATAATTCCATCAATCAAACATGACCGGCCGATTGTATAGGAAAAGACGTGCATGATTGTCGTTACGTACTGTATATATATTTATTTAGGGGTGCCAATTGTTATTAACATTATAGCGCAAGATTGAAGACCCTAATCAAAAGAGCCATCATTAAAAAAATCCAAGAAGGTATTTCTTTCATGCTCATATGTAAACATGGTGAGGAAGGAGTAATTGTTGACATTTACAGGAATACTGAACATAGGGTACACTTTCAGAATACTGGAGCATAAAAGCATGCAGAACAATATGCATCCGTATATAGGCCTTGATGTCCTCTCCTGAAATTGCTGAGAGATATGGACAACTGCTGTACAGTTCATCGCATGTTCAAGCTAGGATGGATGCTTATATTGCGCATGAGGTGCATTTCCTTTTTATCTCTGGCTGAATAATTTAGTGCGAAGTTCCTATGAATGGCTGTGATATGCACGAGCATCTTATATACAGCAGTACAGTGTGAAAAAATTATAAGCTTGGAGAAGGGGGAAAAAACGGAAGCGCAATGAAGGCTGAAATGAATGGATGATTCAAATTAGTTCATAAAATTAATGGCACAGGTATAAAAACTGGCATCACAAGAATTTACCAATTCTGCGACTGAGACCATGCGTGCTGCTGGTCTTCCCTTCACTCTTACTTAGCAGCGCTGTTCAAACAACCCACATTTTATTCATAAAATGAATGGACAGTTCCCGTCGAAGTCAACGAATGTAGTGTATCTTTACGTGACATTCCGTTCAATGAGAGGCTTTCACAGAAACACTTCTTCAATTTGTGAATAAAATTTTCAATGGAATTCCTCACTCAACTAATTTTTTTTCATTCAAAAGATTAAGCTAGCATAACCAAAAAGTTTATATGAGAATTACAAACTCCTCGTACAGTTCTCTTTTTGCATCCTCTTGGAATGATACATGACTGTTGTAACCGCCAAACCCGCTGAGATTCAAAATTTCGAACGGGTGTTGAAGCGTGGTCGTTCGCGCTAGCATCACTCCCTCAAGTTCCTTGTGAAAAGTGTCGTTTGTCAACGTCGTTTGTGGTTTCCTTACGGAACGTGTCTTAGGGATGATGTTTGTATCGCATAACTCACTTGAAGTCCGCGAGGTTCAACTGGTCAACACGTGCTTGAGAGGAATTGCTTGAACAATTTCAGAAAACTCATCTGTTCTGCCGAAAATTGATCAATTCAAGCGAAATTTTGCGTCGGAAACAATTTTTTAAAAGTGCAGTTTTCATTCTTTAAAAGTGTCTGTCGGATGATCACTGAGCAAAGAAGTGAACGAGCTCGGGTTATTCTTAAGCCTATTTTTTTGGATTTTTTGAGTGATATCTATTCCACAAAGATCGTTCGTCGCAATGGCAGCTGCGTGCGAATCTACTCTGGTGGTGAGTAACAGTTTACCCTCCCACATGTGTATTTGTTGAAATAGCGAAAGTTCATGAAGATTTATAGCCAATGGCTTATTATTGAGCACGATTATATTTTCTCTTAGATAAGTCCTCCGAGGAAAGAGAATGCTGTGCAATACAACACGGTTCAGAACACCCTGACTCTGCAAGCGTTCGCCTCGAAACCGACCTTAGACTTCGGAGAAGTGAAGCTCGGGGTTCGGGTTGAAGTCGGTCTGAGAATCTTCAACCCTTCGGATCATGACGTCGAAATTACAATTGTTAATTCCCCATCGCCATTCAAAGCTGTGACAAAATTCACCGCTCCGAAGAGCAGCGGGTTGTTGTACAATGTAGCCTGGCGGCCCAGAGAAGAAGGGATCGTTCGAAAAGTGTTGGATGTAAAGGTTGTTCCCAGTCGGCCTCCAATTCGCACCGGGATCATCCTTGTTGGTAAATGTGTGGATCCTTCGAAGGTTCGTCTTCATGATAGAATATACATGTCATCAGAAAGAATTCGCATGCAAACGATAGTATGTGATGCATCATTCTCGATTGCTTCAATTTTGTCTCTCCGAAACTTCTGTTTCCCCAGGCGTAGCTTAATTTTGGAAGTTGATTGAAACACTTTTCACGTGCATCAGGATGTTTTGTATTGGATGAATATACTGTTGCCTCGCTCAGCGAACTCGGAGAAATATTTTAAAATGACCCGTTGAACAATAATATGTTGGAACAAATCAAGTTCTTCCAGCGAGTTAACAGCTTACCACCGATATTTTTTCATCGGCGCTGTTTATGATGGATGCTTTTCGTAATGTCGATTTTCTCACGAATAATTAAAATTCAGTAACTGTTATTCATATTCTCTTGTTCTCAACACAGGGCCCGGAATGGAAGCGAGCTGTGTTGAGAGCTTCCCAGAGGCAAAAACCTGCCTTCAAAAAGCCATTCGTCAAAAACAGCGATAAGCTAAGCAAGGAAAACGTGTCATGCTCTACTCCATCCAATGACGAGCAAACCTTTATCACGAAGAAACGAGGTGTTCTAACCGAACATCAAGAAACTCCTCCACCTTCCGTGGAGCCGTGCGAAATAAACAACGAGACTTTCCTTGTAGAAACTCCTGGAAGGCGGGAAACGTATATTGTACCAGACGAACTTCCTGATCTGAACGAAGCAGCTCCAACGACCAAACCTGTGAACAAGTTTCGCTTTCCACAATACATGTATAAAAAGCGGAAAAGCTCGACTCCAGTGACGTCTCCCAAGAACAGGACGGAGTCCGTGATTCCCGCTCGAAACCAGGGTCCATCGTCCACCAGATCTCCAGCCAGAAAGTGAGGATCAGTGTTGTACTTTAAGAGAGAAAGTATCGAAATGGCGAGTGCATACGAAAAACAATTGTATTTGCGTGATAATCTGGGCCGCGGTTTTCCACAAAGACAGAACTTTTGCACTCAGGTGTGGCTTGGACTCGAGATGCTGTATTCGAAAATAGGCCGCAGTTAGTTATTGAAGTTCGGTTCACGCTTGAGTTTCAATGGGAGTGAAGAGGATAATCAAGTGATGTTAAAGATAATAGAATAAAAATCCAGAGAGGAAATGGGAATTAGCCGCTAGTGATTTTGTTGAAGTAAAGTATTCCGGTGTAAATTTATCATGGATTTAAAAAAAAAAGTTTGCCATGCACTCAACTTCGTGATGCGAGTTCTCACGGCTGTTGGACCGATTGCAACGATAGCGGTTTATGCGTGCACAGTTTTGGGTCGTGCTTTCTCCTCAAAATTTGCAAATCGTCCGAGAAGTGAGAACTCCGCTGTTTTTTTGTTGTTTTGAAGTGGATGCGAGTGCAAGATGTACCCTACTTCCTTATACAGTGTACCGTATTTACTCGAGAACCAAACCCGTGAGTAAGATGTGCACCTGATTTTCTCACCTTAAAAGTTGCACAAATATGTATCCGGAGTAAAGCGTGCACCCCATTTTAGTATGACAGAAAACTTAAAATATTTTGGAAAACACATTGACATCAGAATTCAAATTATGAATTGATTTGAACCAAAATTAAATTGATTTTTCAATATTTCAAGTATTGTTTTTCTCAAAATCGGTTTGAATTTCTTATTTGAATCAAGTATGATGCGCTCCTGAACTTTAAAATTGAATGCCCGCATCTGACATGCACCCTCTTCTTTTCTTTTTAATTTTGTTCGTGGTACTTGCATGAACGTAACTTAACCTAAACTTTTTGCACTTGCCGTTTTCATGCTAGTTTTTCTGATTTGCACCCGAAGGTCGCGTATGAAAATCAATGCTGTCAATACGTTTCAGATTTGCTGAGCATTTGTCGTTGAGAATCGGCGCCCAGGCAGGCAAAAACGTGCCGAATCAAAAGAGCTTTGTGGCCGCCAAAGCATTCCATCCAGCTGAGGTGAAAAATACGGAAAATGTGGAATCTCAAACTGTATCTCCAAGGACCATGGTGGAAAACGTGAAGCGGAGAATCCAAGAGATGGTGCAAGAAATGTCTGCAAGACCCTGTGTCGTTCCTGATAAACCTGCTGACGTTGTTGAAGAAGTGGCTGACGAGTTTGAGGCAGTCTCTTTGAAGGATGTGCCGCACAAGGACCATGTCGGGGATGATTTGGATGTCAGCATGCCTAGTTCGATCTTTAGTGAGTATCTTCGTGTCTTTCTGACCGATTGGATACCTATTCATTTATTATCGCTATCAATTTTTACTCTCGTTTCAAAATCGGTTTTTACAGACCCAGAGCTTCCAATTGAAGCTGAGGCGATGAAGCGAATCAGTCTTGAGCACATCTCCGAAGAGTGAGTTTTCTTGAAGCATGAGCCAGCCAGTGTTTATTGTTTTTGCAAACTGTCACACTACCTGCTTTTGGAACAAACTTCAAATTGAAAATGGAGGGTTTAGAACTTTAGATACTTATGTTAGTCTTTCATTTCTCGTCATTGAATACAGTATTTAAAAAAGTGGCCAGGGGACAAAAGTTTTTTTCTTCTGCATTTTGCCCCCGCTCGAGTTGAAATGAAAAAGAAGACGGAAGTTAAAAATGTACTGTACGGATGTACTTCGATCTTCGTGCGAAATTCGGATTCATGTTACACCTTACACCTTGCATGAATTAAGAGGGGATTTGAGTTACTGAATTTACTCGATCAACATGCATTCGTTTATAAGACATGTGCCTTATTTAAAAAAAAAATCATTCCCTGCGTAAGACGTGCGACCTGATTTTCTGGGACATGAAAATCAATTTATTTGAATAAATGAATGGTAAAAATTTGAAGAATCAGACTGATGAAATTTCAATTCCACTGTGCTGCATTGTATTTCTCCACATTTTCCTCTGTCAACTTGGTATGAGCCAAAATATTGTATATTTTTAGTCATTTTAGTTGCTTGAGAAATGATTTTTTTAACTTTCTTGAATTTGTACAGTACGATGCGTTCCAAAAATTTTCAGAAAATATCTACCCCGTATTTACTCGAGTACCATGCGCCCTCAAGTAAGGTGCGCACAGGGGCTTTTCACTTGAAAATTTTGCAAAAATCTTATCCCTGAGTAAGACGCGCACCCCAATTTTTAGTGAATCTAAAACCATAAAATTTCAAAAATAAAAACAAAAAATTTGACTTTAGGCTTGAATTGAACTAAAATCTGATCAATTTTCAACTTTTTCAATACAAAAATGTTTTCTTGTNTTAGGCTTGAATTGAACTAAAATCTGATCAATTTTCAACTTTTTCAATACAAAAATGTTTTCTTGTTACATTTGTTCCAAATTTCTCCATTATAATTAATTATAATGCACACATAACTTCCCAAAACTTCTTGAAAATTTTGTACCCGCTTATGACGCGCACCCCTTTTTTTTTCTGAAATTCAGGAAAAAAGGTGCGCGTGGTACTTGAGGAAATACGGTACTCAATTCAGCATAGTACAGTATATCAAAGTAAAAAAAATTGAAAGACACTGACGCAATTATTCTGACATCTCTGTGCTATTTAAAAAAATCTTTTCATTATCTTCACATTTTCTTGTAAGCATTATAACTTTATTAGCAGGATTTTATTGCTGTTTAAGCTAAGGTGTGTTTTGGAATTGACTCGAAATTGTTTTAGTGAAGATGTTCCCATTTTTTTTGTCTGCAAATGAAAAGTTAGCTTATTCCTAGTATCAATTGCTCAGCAGTTCGTAGGCTTTTGACACAGTTGCACTGGTCAAGTTTTTACATTTCATTTATGTCTTGAATATTCGAGTTCAGTACAGTATTGTACATGGAACAACGCTCAACAAGTCAAGTTGACTGATGATGTACAGTACCTTGTAATTCAACAAGAAACCCTTCTCTAAATTTTAAAAATCCTGTTCCGAAATCCGGGGATGAAATTTATGAACCAGCTGTCTCTATGTTCGCATTTTTGACCCTTTTCCTCACAGGGAAAGTTTCCAAGATGCCGATAAGGAGAATGAGGCACCAACTCTTGGTACGCCACCTGGATTTTTTGCAAAAATTAATAGGAACATGCGCCTGATGTTCACTCCGTCTCCTAAGTGCGTGAAAGAAGAATTCCAACAACCGAAAGGTAAGTTTAGGACAAAAAGTTCGACGTTTTTCCAAACTTGAATTTTCTGACGTGCCTTTTCCAGAAGAACCTTTGAGCACGACTGAAACCGAACTTGCGGATAATCAAACTCTCGCCGCTGAGCCACAGGTGAATATTTCTTTTTATTTACTGTATCTTACCCGCGTATTAAGATGAATTGTCTCAATTATTTTTCGTTCTCAGATCGAACGGAATCGCGCAAGAGAGAATTTGCCAAAAGTTGTTCTTATATCGCGGAGAGAAATTGCTGCACTCAGGATTCAAGCTTGGTATTTCAGGCATCGATCCCATCGTAAATGAGTGTAGTATTCTTTCCACAAGTGACACGTTTTTGACAATTCTCCAGTCGTATCCAGACAATTTCATCTCTCCATGGTTTTAGTTTAATTGGGTGTGAATATGCTGATATTTCAACGCTTTTTTATTTTCTCTGGGACTTACGTTCGAAATGTTGGGTTTGGGTTTCCAGGTGGCGGATGCAGGAGATAAACTAAGGTCGAGTTCCAATTCCTGGCGGTTTTTATGGCTTTTAAAAAGTACTGTGTCAACTCCTTTTGTTTCCTTTTTTTTTCAAATCCTGTGAAACATAGTTGATGCAGAAACTTATTCGAAGATCAAATGGGCTGATATTTTTTACTGTATACGATATGCAATGATGTGATGACTCCGTTATACTGACCCTGACTAACTTGATGCTTGACCTATTTTCCTTGGATCTGAATTTGAATGTGGACTCGTGTGGATCTTATTCATTACTGTAATTGTGGATTTTTCCCTAGAAACTATGATTTTAAATCTTTGACTCAAGATTTGTTGATGACTGATTTGGTGAGCGCTGATCCTGTCTCCTGTTCTTTCGGTGCACGTTCACATTGAAGATTTCTCTCGATTTTTATTAGACGAAAAATGCGAGAGGAATTCAAATATTCTTACAAATTCCTACCATGGCATTTTCTGAATGCATGTTCTTAATAAACTGTGACACTTGAAGATTCTACATTCATTTTACTGCTGCATTGTTTTTTTCTTTCAGATTTGTTTCTATGGTAAGAAGGTGGATGAAAAAGAGTGAACAGTGCATTCAGCAGAATAATATTTTGAATAATTTGAGTATGGCTTTTAAGAATACCATTGTACTTGAGGATGTTTAACATGCTTTATCTTTTTTTTTTTTTTCTCGAAATAGAAGAAAGAACTCTAGGAACTTGGAATAGATTATATTCCAGGCCTTCAATTGCTTCTTGAAAGAGTTGGCAGGATGCTGAAATTTGAGGCGAGGAATCATTTGCTCCATCAGTCTTTCACAACCTTCAAAATTGCATCAAGGTTAATTTTCATTGGTTTTTTTCTTTCCTGTGTCGGTAGAATAAAAGAGCCAAAAAGCTTCCAGAAAATTGGACTTACAGAGGTTTGAAGGGTTTCCCTTCAAGTTAGTTTTAATGCATTGTTTTCCAGGAAATTCAGACAGGTGCTCGGTAAAATATTCAAGAAAGAAATTTATTTGATTTAGGGATGTTCATGTTACAGTATAAAGGTTCAACTGCATACGTTTTCATAGTTCTCCAGTTAAAAGAAAAATCAACGGAATCTTCGAATAGACTCACATTCGATAATGAATCCACTTGATAAGTTTGAATGATCTCCAAAAAAGATTATTTTTAAAGATTGTGTATGGATCAATCAATCATGTACTTTATCTTTATTCCTAAAGATTGCGCGCGATATAGTTGGATTTTGAGAGCTTGAAAATGCACCCGAACTAAGCAAAAAAACTGCTGTAAGTTGAATTCCGGTCGCTGAATGCCTTCATTGAGTTCTTCCACAATAAAATCAATTATTCATTACCTCTTAATATTAATAGTATATGCTTAAGACAACTCATTTTTTTAATTTTGAAAGGAATTTGCTCCAATCCAAACGATATGGCAGACGATAAAGATAAGAAAATCAAGGTACGTTTCTGCGAAACATTTTCCCGATCTCTGGGGCAAACTCAGGACTTCTATGACGACAACGTCGGGGACGATGATGGGCTTAGTCCACCTTGGAGAAAAGATGTCGCTCTTACCATTGAGAAAGCTCCGGAGCAGGTACTCCTCATATAATAAACCCTCCAGCACTGTACTGTACTGTATTTTTAGAAAATTCCGGAAGTCAACTTTTTCTCTTAAAAAGACACTTTCCCCTCTTGGGATTATTAAGGTCCACTCACAATACGCTGAATAATAAATGTGATACATTCCTGATTAAATACAGTATATTGGGTGATTAATAAATACTCTTAAGATACGAAATACTATACGATGGTTTTCCTTAGGGTCAGCTGTGCTGGGAAACTATTCAATTATGTTCCAAACATTCACAAACAAATTTTGAGTTACAGTGCTGCAATAGAATCTCGTAGTTACTACAAATTCACTTTTCAGGCCCCCCTCTGCATGCATGTACAATAGACACAATGTTGAATGGCAAATTATGGTTACAATGAAGATATTTTAACGTTGCCAATAATGGTTTGATTATTGTGAAGAGATTTTACTGTACCTTGCAAAAACCTGCCTGCATTTTGTTAACACTTCAGCATCATAATAAGTTCTAAACTTTCCGCATTTGAAACTTTTTTGGCTCCGGCGAGAAGTCCGTCCACTGTAGAAATACAGACACATCCCCAGTGTGCACCAATTTCCCCACTCAGGAATATAAACTTTAGTGTGAGTATTTTTATAATTCCATCATCCCACTGAGGCGTGATAGCCTAAGCCTGGTTTAGTTTTTGTTCCTCATCACACAACATACACAGTAAAAGTTATATATTTTTGGTATAGTAGTGCACTATTGTACAATGTACATAAATATGTATACAGTATACCATACATGTTTATACCATATGTATATTTTTGTATATATGCACATCAATTATGCTGCAGCAACATCTAGCGTGCATTTGCAGAAGCACATGGCTTCATTGGCAGTGAATGAAAATAATCTATCTTATGAAAATAATTAATTATACAGTAGTACCATAAAATAAGTCTTATCTATAATAAATAAATAAAAACAGGCAGAAATGGAAACCTGGGCAACAAACAGGGGTAGAGGCCTTGCCAACCGAACAGCGCTACGTCCAATACCCTCAGTAGGGCAGCGACACCTTCCCGCAGAAACTAGCAACAGGATAACACGTCCTTGGAGATCTGCAACCTGCAACGAACGCCACATCGACGCGTCCAATGGACTCCAGTCTCGCGTCATCACGACCCTCTCTTCGACCCGTTTGGAGGGTCACTGGGAACCCACGAAACCCAGCGACGAAGACCTATTGACCGAGTTTCCCAGAGAGATCCACACCTTGTCGGACCTGATGCGGGTCGTGGCGTACGAAACAGCAGAGGATCTGAGAAATGCCTTGACTGAGGCCGGAGCCGCGACTTATGGCATTTATGGAGTTCCTTTGCCCGACTTTGACGCCATGCGTGAGAAAGTGTGGTGCGAGATGAAGAAGATCACTTACGAGCTGATGATCCTGAAGAAGATTCTCAACGAGGCCGTGGAAGACACTGGGAAAGCGAAGAAGGAGGCTGATGAGGCCTACGAGAAATTCCAGCCGGGCCTAGTGTCGAAACTGCAGAAAACTTGCGCGGAATTCGGTCGAATTCATGGTTGCCGGGATAAACTCAGGCGAGTCCTGAATCTTGCTGCGTCATTTTTATTGCGAGAGAGCTAATACTGTACCAAAGTACCGGCTGATTTTCAGAGCTTGATATTATATGCGTGCACAAATCTAACAAGTTCTACAACAAAATTATTGGGACCAGAAGAAATTTGTGGGGGATGAGTGAACTTGGTCGTAGAGAACACATCGGAAGAGAACCCTATTGCCTTTATAGGACCAAAGAAAAATTATTTATTCAGAGAAAATCGTTATAGATGACATAAGCTCATTATTCTGGATTCGTGGAGAGAGTCCACCAGCATAAATGCATAATGCTGGAAAGTAACTCCTGAGCCACTTGAAATCAATTTTGTTATTCAATAAGCTTGTGCGACATTTTTTTTTTCAAAAACGAGTATGGACAATAATTTTATTATCAGGGAAAAAATATATAATTATTTTTTCAATACACTGTACATAATTGTTCAATAAAGTAATTTTTATTGAAGGCACATTTTTTATGCAATATCCGCAGAATCCATCACACTGATGCTTTTCTTGAAGTACAGTATTGTACATAATTACTGAGGTCCTTCATTTTGGTCAGTATAGGAGATTATTAAAAAAATTTCTTAAAAGGTCAAGTTTTCATGCATGCTGGAGACATCAACCATGTATGCAGTAACATTTTGCCACAAGCTTACAAAAATAATTCCCACAGACCTGCTCACATAATGAAAAATTTATCACAAAATGAAAAACTTGTTATATCAAGATTCATGGCTTTAAGCACATTTGAGACTGACTTTTTGTGGGATAGGAAAATAGGTACAGTAATATGCAATGTATAAAGTTCTTGTACTGCATTTAATTTGAGACCTGTCATAATTTCATAAAATACAGTATTGTATTCTTGTACTGTATAAGCAATCCTTATTCAACAACATAATACCACAATAACCCAGATATATGTTGCTGTGCAGGCAAACATCAAGCAAGACTTTTCGAAAGGCAAAGTTCCTTGCCAAAGAAATAATGGCTGCCATGCAACTCCTGTCCACTCCCATTCAACATTCTGCAATGAAACTCCATGAACGGAGAACTGCTCCTTCACCCGCCATGGAAATGTCTGGCGACCTCGGGGTTTTCTTGGTCAGAAAGGCATTGTCTCTTTATGGAAGGAATTATGTACGCTGCTTTGACTTTGGCTCCAAAGTTGCTTCACAGGTACAGTATAAGTATTGAAAATATTGTATATTGACAGTGAATGCCCTCATCCCTCTCAAAAATCAGCAGCCTCATCGGGTTTGAAATAAAAAAAATTTGTATTCATCATTTTGTTAAACTAACCTCAATTTTTAAAATGCAAGTACTGTATGAAAGTATGACGGACCTAAGGTTAAAAGCAGTAGAGGAAAATATTACAGTAAATTATTGTACTTTGAAATGTTTGGCTCAAAAGTTTCTTGATATATACTGTATATAGGTAACTATGGTATACTTTACACAGTTAAAACCCCCTTTTATGTATCATCCCAACTTGCAATAAACACTTGAAAGTATTTTAAAGTCATCCATTCTTGTGATAATTACATGTCTTGGCCTTTGTTGGCAGTCATTTTTTCAGCTTATGTATTCACTGAAAAGCTTTAGCAGCCAAGGGAAAAAAGTCAACATATCATGCCAATCACTTTTGTATATAAATAAGAAAAGCTGAAAGGTAAAAAATAAATTTTAAAAATCCTTTCAAAAGTTGCTTGACATCATGTAGATAGCAGCTGTGGTATAAATACTTCAGATATACTTCCCCAAGATCAGCCTCATGTTTGAAATTTACACAATAAATTGCGTTTATATACAATTGAACCTCTCTATATCAAATTTAAAGGGGCCACAAAAAAATTTGACTTGGGGGGTTTTGACTTGAGGAGGTTCTGAATAATTGAGGTTTCAGTAACAGAACCAAGAATTTTTGTCAAGAAAGCATAGAAGAATTGCTCAAACTTGTAAATGGTGATATTCTGGGCATTAAATGCATCCGAAATGAGTTGTCAATATGCTGAACTTGAAGACAGGGACTAAATTTGCCCAATTTAGTCTTTCCTTTCTTTTCAAAACACATGCAATTATGTTTTTATTGCCTCTTTTTTTCCTTTGTCAAGAAAAATAACCAAAAGGCCTCCAAAAGATTTTGAGTTAAAGAGGTTTGAGAGGAAAAAGCTTGAAGTTAGGGAGTTTTTTAATACATTGTTCCTAGGGGAATTCAACAGGGACTTGAAAAAATTCAACTTAGGGAGGTTTGAGTTATTGAGGATCAACTGTATACAGTATTGACAATGACTGACCTTAAGTTAAAAATAAAATACATAACCCCCCTTGATTAAAAAAACTCTGTATGATGAAAAAATGTCGGTGATGTGGTAAAAACCACTCAGTTAACAAACAGTACTTTAAAAAAAACCTCAGTTCACAAACATAAATTCAGTGGAAAAACAGGAATAAAGGGTGAAATACAGACTATATAGAGAGTTATACAATATGCTGAGAAGAAAAACCCTGGGTTGACTTACATCAGATAAAAAAAACTAGATCACTTACTTGAAAAAAAGGGCTGTTGAGGTATATATTGTAAGATGAAGTATCCCTTCTCTCTGTATAACATCCAACGCAGATTAAGAGGCAAAAAACGGAGGCAGAATTCGCCGTCACGGCTTTGCTGGCCTTCCTGGACATGAAATACACTTCCAGGAACCCGTACTTTGACATTGTCCCGCGATATGGAGGCCTGGGAGATGAATTGGTCCCACCTGTGACCCCCATCATCTCAGGAGACACCCTGAGGGCAACAAGAAGAGCGACTAATTATTTGAAGGAGGCTCAGGCTTTGCGAGGGCTTCTTAGAGCACATGCGTGAGTGAAAAAAAAGTGCTCAAAATGAGGAAATATAACTTGAAGTGCAGCTGCACAGTACTGATTTCCTCCAAACTTGATAATATCTACATGTGTACTTAGCTATTGCTGGCAGCTCCCCAGCATCCAACTCCCAAATTATTTGCTGGGTGATGATGTACTGTATAAGGAATGCAAAAATCCCCAGCCAGTTGAGTTGAGATTTGGTTGTCTATGAAAGCTGGGGTTGAGCCAATGATCCCAATGTCTGCTATCTTATAGTGTGAGACCCCAATATATGCCGAAGTATAATTGGTGCTTGGTTGACCTTGTCAGATCATGTTCTCCCATAGACTTCAATGGGGACATACAGTATTTAATTGGTTTTTCTGTTCATAAATTGAGAAAAAAATCCCCCAACAATTGAATACATTTTTCTCAACTGCAGAATAAATCCATACATAATCTGATTTTTTTGGTATTTAAAGGAGCTGTATAGAAGCAAAGAATACGGAAAAGTCTTGCTATACTATATAAAGATGATGATGCAAAAAACTGAAAACAAGTGAAAAGTTAGCCTGCTTTTTATTATGAATTAGGGAATTTCACATTGAAATTTCTTTTCAAATGTTTTTGTTTAAAAAAAGTGGATACATTTTTTCAAGGGACATCAAAATCCAGAAGAATAAACTTCATCCATTTTTCTAGGAATTTTGGGAAAGTGTAGGTTTATCAAGACATACGTATACATCGTCCAGCAAATTCCATGTTGGGTCAGATTTTTTTCCAGTTTCAAGTGTTCCTAAGTTGAATTTTCCGTTTTTTTTGGGCCCCACTGTTAGAATGACAGCCTTATATACTTGTCCAGCAATCCCCTCCCCCAAAATTCATGGAATACTGTACTCCCAATCATAATTGAGCTCTTGTATAATGAAAGGGTCCCTGCATGCTACATAATACTGTACAGTGTAATGAAACTTATCCATTCCATCAGGATGAGTGTTCTTATGCAAAACATGATTTCCCATACATTATACTGTGGAAAGCTGGCCTATGAATGTCTAACATCAACACGCAGATACTTTTACTTTGATACATTAACTGCAAAAAATACTGTATTCCCTAACATCTGATTTGATAATACCCTAAATTTTCAGAACATCAATGAAAAAATATTTCATTTCTGAACTGTAGATATCTCTTGAACGAACTGAGCTTTTATTATACCACAAAAGTGAACATAATAAAATTTCTCCAATATTTCCCTAAACTGGCCGGTTTTGTGATCTCTTAATGATTGTGGATTTTACAACTGTGTATTGTATACATCGTATACAGTACATCAGTACTGTACTGTAATTTGCTCTTTGAAAGTTGAACTTTTTTGTGTGCCAAAAGAGCAGATTTGTGGGATTTTTTCAGCAGTTATTTTCTACATCCTAAAGTTTACAAAACCCTTTTTCAAGCTATAGATAATTAAAAAAATTTCTTAGTCAAACATATGAGAAGTGATCAGTCAAGCACATGCTCAAATTAACAAATGGAAACAGTTTCTGGGTAATTATCTGATCCACCTTTGAGACACACCATGCTCAGTAATTGAAAAATATATCCAATACAAATACTCATTCACTATAAAAGTTATTGATACGAAAACAGTACAAAGTAGTAAACAGTCAAAAAACATCAAGAAGATGAATTTCAAAGCTTTTTGCAAAGAAAAATTTGTAATCCACATTCAGATTCTTCATTTTTTTAATTCAAGAGAGCAAATAGGAAATTATGAAAAATTGGGAGCATTTTTCTGCAAACAAGAATTCTTTATGATTATAACAGGCGGTGGACTCT